AATGGGTCTCAAAACCACTTGATGGATTTTCAAGAACACTGTCTAATCTTTTGAAAAAATGATATTTGATCAAAAGTAAGATGGTTCCTCCATGACGGTCAAGTCTTCTTCCAGAAGGTTCTTTCCTGTACTCTACAAGTAACACATACAGGACATTTGAGAAGTGGGGTGTGGAGGGGGGGGGGGTAGAGGGAGTGGGGATTTTTGATTGGTCCTCTAGCGGTCATGGGAAAAACCTCTTATAACAACTTGATGGAGGTTCAAGAACACTGTCTAATCTTTAGAAAAAATGATATTTGATCAAAAGATAGATGGTTCCTCCATAGCGAACAAGTCTTCTAGCAGACAGTTTTTTTTATGTTCTCTACAAGTAACACATACAGGACATTTTGAATTGGGGTGGGGGGGGGGGGGGAGGGATTCAGGAATTTTTGATTGGTCCTCTCACGCTTAGGGAAAAACTGCTTCAAAAGACTTGGTGGAGGTTCAAGAACACTGTCTAATCTTAAGAAAAAATGATATTTGATCAAAAGTTAGATGGTTCCTCCATAACGGACAAGTCTTCTTGCAGAAGGTTCTTTTCTGAACTCTACAAGTAACACGTACAGGACATTTTGAATTGGGGTGGGGGGGGGGGGGGAGGGAGAGGGATTCAGGAATTTATGATTGGTCCTCTAGTGCTCAGGGAAAATACCTCTCAAAACGACTTGATGGAGGTTCAAGAACACTGTCTAATCTTAAGAAAAAATTATATTTGATCAAAAGATAGATGGTTCCTCCATAACGGACAAGTCTTCTTGCAGAAGGTTCTTTTCTGTACTCTACAAGTAACACATACAGGACATTTTGAATTCGGGTGGGGGGGGGGGAGGGATTCAGGAATTTATGATTGGTCCTCTAGCGCTCAGGGTAAATACGTCTTCAAACGACTTGGTGGAGGTTCAAGAACACTGTCTAATCTTAAGAAAAAAATTATATTTGATCAAAAGATAGATGGTTCCTCCATAGCGAAACAAGTCTTCTAGCAGACAGTTATTTTCCGAACGCTACAAGTAACACATACAGGACATTTTAATTTGGGGTGGGGGGGGGGAGGGATTCAGGAATTTATGATTGGTCCTCTAGCGCTCAGGGAAAATCTGCTTCAAAAGACTTGGTGGAGGTTCAAGAACACTGTCTAATCTTAAGAAAAAATGATATTTGATCAAAAGTTAGATGGTTCCTCCATAATGGACAAGTCTTCTAGTAGATAGTTATTTTCTGTACTCTACAAGTAACACATACAGGACATTTGGAATAGGGATGGGGGAGTGGAGAGAGTGGGGGATTTTGGATTGGTCCTCTAGCGCTCAGGGAAAAATACCTCTTATAATGACTTGATGGAGGTTCAAGAACACTGTCTAATCTTTAGAAAAAATGATATTTGATCAAAAGTTAGATGGTTCCTCCATAACGGACAAGTCTTCTTGCAGAAGGTTCTTTTCTGTACTCTACAAGTAACACAGACAGGACATTTGGAAGTGGGGTGGGGGGGGGAGAGGGATTCAGGAATTTGGGATTGGTCCTCTAGCGCTCAGGGTAAATACGTCTTCAAACGACTTGATGGAGGTTCAAGAACACTGTCTAATCTTAAGAAAAAATTATATTTGATCAAAAGATAGATGGTTCCTCCATAACGGACAAGTCTTCTAGTAGACAGTTATATCCCGTACTCTACAAGTAACACATACAGGACATTTTGAATTGGGGTTGGGGGTAGGGGGAGGGATTCAGGAATTTGGGATTGGTCCTCTATCGCTCAGGGTAAATACGTCTTCAAACGACTTGGTGGAGGTTCAAGAACACTGTCTAATCTTGAAAAAAAAAAGATATTTGATCAAAAGTTAGATGGTTCCTCCATAATGGACAAGTCTTCTAGTAGATAGTTATTTTCCGTACTCTACAAGTAACACATACACGACATTTGGATAAGAATGGGGGAGGGGGGGTGGAGGGAGTGGGGGATTTCGGATTAGTCCTCTAGCGCTCAGGGAAAATACCTCTTATAACGACTTGATGGAGGTTCAAGAACACTGTCTAATCTTTAGAAAAAATGATATTTGATCAAAAGATAGATGGTTCCTCCATAGTGAACAAGTCTGCTAGCAGACAGTTATTTTCCGTACTCTACAAGTAACACATACAGGACATTTTGAATGGGGTGGGGGGGGGGGAGGGGGGAGGGATTCAGGAATTTTTGATTGGTCCTCTCACGCTTAGGGAAAATACGTCTCATAACCTTGTGGAGGTTCAAGAACACTGTCTAATCTTTAGAAAAAATGATATTTGATCAAAAGATAGATGGTTCCTCCATAACGGACAAGTCTTCTAGTAGACGGTTATTTTCCGTATTAAACATGTTATACATACATGATAATTGGAGGTTGGGGAATGGGTAGCTTTAGATCGATCCGTTAGCAGTCTGGGAAAATGGGTCTCAAAACCACTTGATGGATTTTCAAGAACACTGTCTAATCTTTTGAAAAAATGATATTTGATCAAAAGTAAGATGGTTCCTCCATGACGGTCAAGTCTTCTAGTAGATAGTTATTTTCCGTACTCTACAAGTAACACATACAGGACATTTGGAATAGGGATGGGGGAGGGGGGGGGGGGTGGAGGGAGTGGGGGGTTTTGGATTGGTCCTTTAGCGCTTAGGGAAAATACATCTCATAACCTTGTGGAGGTTTAAGAACACTGTCTAATCTTTAGAAAAAAATGATATTTGATCAAAAGTTAGATGGTTCCTCCATAACGGACAAGTCTTCTAGTAGACGGTTCCTTTCTGTACTATACATGTTATACATATAGTACATTTAGAGTAAGGGTTGGGGGGGGAGAAAGGGGAGGGATTCAAAAAATTATGAATTGGTTCTCTAGCGCTTAGGGTAAATTAATCTTGAAACGACTTGGTAGAGGTTCAAGAACACTGTCTAATATTTAGAAAAAATGATAACGGACAAGTCTTCTAGTAGACGGTTATTTTCCATACTAAACATGTTATACATACATGATAATTGGAGGTTTGGGAATGGGTAGCTTTAGATCGATCCGTTAGCAGTCTGAGAAAATGGGTCTTAAAACCACTTGATTGATTTTCAAGAACACTGTCTAATCTTTCGAAAAAATGATATTTGATCAAAAGTAAGATGGTTCCTCCATGACGGACAAGTCTTCTTGCAGATGGTTATATTCCGTACTCTACTAATAACACATACAGGACATTTGAGAAGTGGGGTGTGGGGGGGGGGGGAGGGAGTGGGGGATTTTGGATTGGTCCTTTAGTGGTCAGGGAAAATACATCTCATAACGACTTGGCGGAGGTTCAAGAACACTGTCTAATCTTAAGAAAAAATGATTTTTGATCAAAAGTTAGATGGTTCCTCCATAGCGAACAAGTCTTCTTGCAGACTGTTTTTTTCGTACTCTATGTGTAATACATACAGGACATTTGAAGTTGGGGGAGGGTAAATTTTTAATTGGTCCTCTAGCGTGCAGGGTGAATTCGTTTTAAAACGACTTGCTGGAGGTTCAAACCACTCTCTAATCTTTAGAAAAAAAGATATTTGATCGCAAGTTAGATGGTTCCTCCATAACAGACAAGTCTTCTTGCAGAAGGTTCTTTTCCGTACTATACATGTTATACATGTGTTTTTGACCCTCCACCAAGTCATTTCAAGATGTATTTACTCTGATAACCCTTGTGTACAAGTTTCATGGAATTTGAACAAACACTTTTGAAATTATGCTAAAAATTCAAAATCTTGATGTTGATGCCACAAAAGAGTCTAAGTTTGTTGACCTGAAATGACCTTTGGCCTTAACTAAGTGACCTGAAATTCTACTCACATGATTGGGGATACTTGATAACCCTATAGTCCAAGTTTCATTGACTAAGGACTTATAATGTACTTTCAAAATTATACTAACAATTAAAAAACTTAACCTTAGGTTAAGCTTTTGATGTTGACGACGCCGCTGCCGCCGTCACTGGAAAAGCGTCGCCTATGTCTCGCTTTTTTGCCCGGCGTTCATGAACACACCGTATACCGCACTTACAATGGCCCACTGAATCACCAAAGTCTTCGATACTATACTTTGAATGGGTATTGCGGGCGCCGCGCGCACAATCATCTACCACCATGCTCCCCCCAAAATGCAAGACCGCACGTAGCATACTAGTATCAATTCAAAACAGTAATAACGGCGGCCGTGTTGTTTTGGAATTAAACAAGATGGTGGCGGACGGACCATGTGCGCGAAAGTGCCTATCCAGTGTAGTCAAATTCAGTGAACTTATGAGTAAATGCGTGTGACATGCAGCGCTGTGTACGGAGGCTATGTGATATGGCGGCATTCGCTATAATGTACTTTTATTTAACGTTTCCCCGTAATCTTTTGATTGTTTACCGTAACGCCGTAACAAGAGGATTAAAACCACAACAAATACGGCGAAACCGTAACAGTTGGCATCTCTGCAAATGTTTTTTACACAACCCATATAATTAAACAAATTTATTTCGTCATCAATAACTAAGGAAATAAAATTTCATGAAATTTCTGCTCAGAGCAAATGAGAAAGGAGTTTGCAAGATGCGTTCACAATTATTATATTTTTCTATCCAGTCTGCATACCAGGGGGGTGTTTCACAAAGATCCTAAGTTGAACTTATCTCTATAAAGTTGGACTTAACAATTATGGAAAGCTGTCAACATACTTAAAAATATTTTGTAAAAGTTATCTTAAAAGGCATAAAATGATGATTCAAATCATTCATATTTGCTATTATCATGGGAGATTTCATGTTCTTGATGTGGAATTTATGAAAAGTCTAAAATACTTTTAATTTTTGCTTTCGACATTTTTTGTTATAAGGCTACAAATGGCTCTCCATAATTGTTAAGTTACATGTAAGTTTGACTTAGAATCTTTGTGAAACACCCCCCTGGATTGAACTTACTTGTGCCTCATGATCTCCTCCGACCTCTCAGAAAGCAGCTTCTTGTTCTGATCGCGCTCAGCCCTGATACAAAATGACAAAAGAGGAGGTTTAAGTTTTTGTAAAACAAAATTTTAAGAGTTATCTTCACTTTTAAGCCCATGTTAAAGAATGCATTCTGGTATGACTGTGCTTGTTTACTTCTATCCGCACAGAACACCTATCTCTTATTTCCCTTTCTTTTATTTTGCATCCCCTTTCAAATCCAACAGTTCTTTTCAGGACTACCCACATGATTAAAGGTATAGACCAGTTCTGGTCATGCGATTGCATTGTGAAAGAAACGTTGTGGAATCGATCAGAAAAGGTTGATCATTTAGCATATAAGTCTTGGTTAAGTTACAAGCACTGTACACAGAAAGATGTATATGGGACTACGCGATATCTATCCAGGCCGGATAGATATGATAATTTACCAAATATATCAATTAGTGGGCGGTTTGCCGGCAAAATTTGTAACATCACGTATTAGTCCTAACATATTCTTTCACATGAATGGTAATAAGAGCTTCCATTTCACTTTTTGAGAGGGAGGGGGGGGGGGGGGGGGTTTCCAAAACATGGTTGAACTGTAAAGTTACGACGTTGAACTTACAGCAGTTTCTTGTACTCCTCAGGGTCTGTCCTGTTGGACTTCTCGATGAGCTGATTGGTTCGCTGCTTCCAACGATTGACCTCATTGGAAAGGGCGACCTTCTCGGCTGCCAGGGCATCTCGCTGGGCCGTGATGGTACGGGTCTGTTCCTGCAGAGGGAGAATGGCTCCCTCTAGCTCACTGACCTGAGATCGGGGTTCAAAGAATGTTTAATTATTGCTTGAGCAATTCAGTAGGAGTTGCCTCAGGTTCAATGGAGTCAAAGAAAAAAACAACAACAAAAAAACAATGGATCAGGCCATCAACAATCTCGTGCAGACATCACTATTGCTCTGACATACATTGATCCTCACAGTGATCAAGTTTGCCCCGTCTCTCCAATCTAAACATGAAATAGATAACTGGTATCCTATGAGTTCAATCTGAAAAAGAAAAAAAAAAAGTTGCATGACAGATAACTGCAGAGGGAGTGTAATCACAAAATGACACTGATCCTACCTTAGCCTTCAGCTGCTGTAGCTGCTGTTCCACCCTCTCCTTCTCCTCCCTCAGAAGTCTGTTGCTGTCCGTGACAACATTCAGACTTTGAACCTTCTTCATCAAATCTTGGTGCTGGGCAGTGGTCTGCACGAGAATCTGGGGGACGAAGAAAAAAAAAATGTGCTAGTGGTCTACAATTTGGCGCATCGTGAATCGCAAGGTACAAGGTTCAAATCCCTATCACAGCACTAATGTCCTTTCATAGGCCATTCACACACAAAAAATGTTCCTTGAAAAGCATTGCTCTTCAAATGTCTCCATATTCTAAATATGAGACGTAACGTATAAAAAATGAGGCCAGATTTTTATGCCACATGTTTGTGTAGTCACATACACATCCTTCTGTGTACAATGCTTGTCTTTACCAAGACTGGAACAATTTTTTTTTATCATTTTGATGATCCCAGAACCTTGCAGTACACACCAATACTTATATGATACAAGATCAACTTTTTCTGATCGATTCCACACCGTTTCTGTCACAATGCAATCGCCTGACCAGAACTTAAATTTATCTTCAAAAAGCCAATCATGTGCTTCTCATGATCCTCCCAGTTTAGATATCTTATTATACATGTTCGTATTTTGATGATTATCTTGACGTGGAAATAACTTAAAGGGGGGATTAGACCTCCCTGCATGGTCACTGACAGGTGGTTATCTCATCAAATCAGCTCTCAATTAACATAGGGAAAAATAGGGACATGGACAAGAAGTGCAGTCCCGCTTTAATGTCAATGTTTTATGCCATTTTTCCTTCTTTTCCCCACTTTCTTTATCTTCCTTTTTTTTTTAAATCTTGATTTTATGTAAATTATAATTTTGTATATTTTGTGAGGATCATCTTTAATAAGCCATTCATGTGCTTTTCATGACCCTCCCAGTTCAGATATCTTATTATACATGTTCGTATTTTGAAGATTTATATAATAATATTTTTATCTTGTTGTGGAAATCAATAAATGAAATGAAATGACTTACCTGGGCTCTCTCCCGTTCCCCGGATAGACTCTTCTGTGCTTGCTCCAGCTGGTTCTGAAGATGTTCGCTCTTGTGTCTGAACCTTAGGGTCTCCGTCTGGGCCAACTCAAACTGACTCTCTGCCAACTCCTTCTCCCGCCTCAGGAATCTGTGCGGTGACGAAGCGCACTGATTTATTCCATGACCAACTTTAACGAACTTCATTATCAAATAGTTGATAAATCATACTTCATTTTAAACGATTCATCAACTCTGTATTTTTTTCAGAGGTATAATTATACCATTGATTTATATTATGATATGATTACATACGTATTTTGAATTTTGTGAATAATATAAACATACCTAGTTTGTATATTACTTTCTATTAAGTTGAAAAATACAGAAATAAAAAAAACAAACAAATTCATGGTATTCATATAGGCTTGGAGTAGTAATAGTTAGCGACACACATACACATTTTCTTACTTGGTGAATTCTAGGAGTCTAAGAATTAAAAACTGTTCTTACTTGATGACTTCTAAGAGCTGGTCAGATGATTTGTCCTCTTCCCGAAGAGAGATACTGGTGTTTGCAAAGTCCTGGGCATGTGATGACTGCTTCAACATCTTGCTACCCAACTGAAAACATTAAAACAACAAAAATAATACTTTAAAGCCACACTGTACTACTTGTAGCTACTTGCTCCCTCTATATAGAAAACTTCCCAATCGGTGCTTATTGGTCCCCATGATCCCTTTTTTCTTATGTTAATTGAGAGCTGAGTTAATGAGATAGCCACCTGTCACAGTGACCCCGCTGGCTTGCTGGGTGGTCTAATCCCTTCTGGCTGAACTAGTACAGCCAGCCTTTAACTCTTAGTAAGCCACTTACATGTAAAAGGTTGTTCTTTTAGGTGCGTGTGTAGTGTAAGTACAAAACAATAGCATAGTAAAGGTTTAAAGCAAATGCAGAAGTTCTGATTGGCAAAACATCACTATGGGATATCTAGAAATGGTTTAACATGGGGAGGAAGGGGGGGGGATATCCTTTACAAGACAAGTCTGAAGTTCCTCAGCTTTTTGGTAGTTTGACAAGTTAAGGGCTTTATTGCTCATTTCCCTTTGGAAAAAAAATTACTCTTAACTGCAATGTGATAACAGACCAAATGGACATACATGTAGTTTGTGAGAAGAAAAAAATTGATAAGAAGTTGGGTACATAATCATTACGAACCAACATCACAGTTTCCTACAGGTATAACATTTTGGAAACAAAGCATTCATCATTTTACAAAACAGAAATAAAAGATCACTTGAATATTTGGCCAAAAATTAGTTGATGTATTATCATGATGCAGTATAAAATACAAATTATTTCAAACAAGTTATTGCAAGATACATAATTATGTGTGAATCAAAGCGCAATGTTGGATTCAAAAGGAATGGGAAACGTAATTATATCTATTGTTGCGAAAGATTTCAAGTATTTAGGGATCTTACTGCTTCTAGCTGTTGATGTAACATCTGGTTCTGGCCTTCAAGCTCTTTGCTTCTCTGGGCATGCTGCTCTAGCTCTGCCTTCTGAATACGAAGCTGCTCAGTCCAAGAAGCCTATAATGAACAAGAAATCGAGTATATTGATCGAATCAATGAACTCATAGAATGATTGATTGATTGAATAATGTATTGATGGTGCTTCTTAGGTTACTTGTTACTCTGTATGTTTGAACAAGAAATCAAGTATATTGATCAAATCAATGAACTCATTGAAATGATTGATTAATTGATTGAACGGATGATGTATTGATGGTGCTTCCCAAGTTCCTTGTTACTATATTCATTATTCATTCATTTATTTATAATTCATAAATTCATTCATTCATGTATTCATCATTCATTCGTTCATACTTTCATAAATTCATTCATTCACCTAACTCACCCACGAGCTCACTCACTAATTAATTGATGTCTCCATCCATCCATCCATCCATCCATCAATCCTTCCATCCATCCTTCCATCCCCTCACCTCACTCCCTCCCTCACCCACCCACCCACCCACTCACCACTATGCCACCAACCCATTCACTTCACTTACTCACTCACTGCTCCCTCCCTCCCTCCCACCCTCCTTCCCTCAACCCACCCACCCACCACTCACTCACTCACCCACTCACTCCCTCACCCACCCACTTATCCACTCAACCACCCACCCACTCACTCACTCACCCACTCACTCCCTCACCCACCCACTTATCCACTCAACCACCCACCCACTCACTCACTCACCCACTCACTCCCTCACCCACCCACTTATCCACTCAACCACCGACTCATTCACTCACTCACCCACTCACTCCTCACCCACCCACTTATCCACTCAACCACCCACCCACTCACTCACTCACCCACTCACTCCCTCACCCACCACTTATCCACTCAACCACCCACCCACTCACTCACTCACCCACTCACTCCCTCACCCACCCACTTATCCACTCAACCACCCACCCACTCACTCACTCACCCACTCACTCCCTCACCCACCCACTTATCCACTCAACCACCCACCCACTCACTCACTCACCCACTCACTCCCTCACCCACCCACTTATCCACTCAACCACCCACCCACTCACTCACTCACCCACTCACTCCCTCACCCACCCACTTATCCACTCAACCACCCACCCACTCACTCACTCACCCACTCACTCCCTCACCCACCCACTTATCCACTCAACCACCGACTCATTCACCCACCCACGCACTCACTCCTCACCACTCCCTCACCCACCCACTCACCCATTAAACCACTCACCCACTCACTCACCCACTTACTCACCTACAAACTCACTCACTCATCCACCCACCCACCCACCCACTCATTCAATCAATTAAAAAGTGGTCTTACCTCTGATGAATCGAGTGCTGCTTGAGCCTTCTTAGCAACTTCCTCTGTCTGTGACATTTTACTGTTATGGCTAGCAAGCTATTAAAACAAAACAAAAAAAAACAATTAACAGTAATAACAAACCACAAATAAATAAAGATTCAAACAGAAAATATTGGCTTTGGTACTAACTGTAAATGAAAATTACCCACATACATTCATATCATGTACGGGGTCTCCTTACCATTTTACTGTTATGACTAGCAAGCTAAAAAGAAAAAAACAAAGTACAAGGAATCTAATCCAATCCAATAGGTTAAGACAGGAAGCAGTTTCCCATAGGCAAGGGATCGACCAAATCTTTTCTTCTTCTTTTTTAATCACAAAAAACCCCTGAAATGTCCAAAAAAATTGATGACTTTTATTGCAGTGTAAATGCAGCTTATGTAGAGAGAGAGAGAGAGAGAGAGAGAGAGATAAGAATACATCTCACTTACTTGTTCTTTGACAGTAACCAGTTGTTTCATGTCAGCAGCATGCAGCAGGAACTCCCTCTCGTACTTATCTTGCATCTGAAAAGTGAAGGGAAATGAATATGTAAAGTACTGTCTTGTCCCCTTCTCGTCTCTGTTGGCATCCCCCCTTTCCCCCCCCCCCTATTTTGTAGTTCCTTTTGTAGTTAAGAAAATGTTAATTTAATAGTATCTTTTGAGGTGTCCACACTTGTACAATCATTGCTTTTTAGTGAACCCCTCTGTTTCAATGTGTATTCCTAAATTGTTGGAAATGTTTATAATCGTTTTGTAATGCTTTGTTGAAAACGTAAATAAATTGAATTGATATGCACCTCCTTGGCTACTTTAGCCTGGGTTTGACTGTCCTGTCTCGCAGTGAGTTCCTTAGCCTCTGCTTCTTTTTGCCTAGCGAGGGCCTCCTTCAGCTCCTCCTGCAGGTTGGCAAGGTTACGACGCAGCTCTGCAGTCTGTCCAGTGCAAGATGAAGAAGAAGAAGAAAAAAATTGAAGTTGAATATCTCGATTAAAAGAGCTATGAGCGTCCAAGCAGAGGTGATCACTGGCACTATAAGAGAAGCCACCATCACCAACATCATCAAATCGTACATTGGGGATCATTCCTATAATGCAATTGAATGATCATTAAAAATAATAAAAATCATGGGTGATTTCAATGTTTCCTATATATTTTGATCTAGATGACCAGTTGTAGTTCGTATAGAAGAAAATGCCCAGTAATTTTTGTGAGTTTGTTTTCATTTCACTGGTTCGAACAACCAATCGACTGCAGGATAAACAATCCAGAATAAATCATAGCAATTTTCTTTCAAAATACGATTCCAATACCAGAGCTCAAGATTAGCTTTAAACTGCTCCTTGTAGTTGTTGTTTTAGTTTTTATTGGTGTGTTTTATTCATTGATGAATATTAAGGCAGCCAGAGTTAGGCTCTGCTCAAGGCTTTTAGAAATCATGGTAAAGTGTCGAATTGGGGGATCCAACTTTACAGGTTTTTGCAACCTTCATGGAAAGCCCTGCATATAACCTTTGTAAATATAGTTAGAATTTACTGTTACCTTGTATACTTTGATTTTTATATTGCGAAATAAATTGAATTGAATTGAATTGAATTAGAGTCTGTACATGTAGATTAGACAGTACCTGTGTCTGGACGGCTACATGGAGTTCCTTGTTCTCTGACTCCTTCTCCGCACGATCCTTCCTGAGCTCAGAAACCTCCTTGCTAAGGTCATCATGCTCTACAGGGTCAGGCAAAGAAATGGATAATAATAATGAAATTAATAACAACATTTATAATGCGCACTTATCCACCCCAAGGGATGCTCAAGGCGCCTTAACAAATTGGGAAAATTATTAACCCCGGCTTTAACTGTGCTGCCATTACGGTGCTCGAGCATTTCAAGGAATTAATTCCTGCCAGGTACCCATTTACCTCACCTGGGTTGAGAAGATACATGTACAGAGTAGGGAAGAGAAGATACAGAGTACCGTAAGCAGGCAGAGTGCGAAACATAGGAAGAGAAAAACAAGAAGATATAATCAGTTCATTTGTATAATGCAGATTTAATTTAGTTATAACTTATACTGGATCCCCATATATATTTTCTGTATATTAACAATAAAAAGCCAGAAATAAAATAAGAGGTGAAAGGGCATGAAATCAGGCATAAATCTGAAGGCTGGCTTCCTGTACATAGCACTTTTAAGTCTGTTCAGATATGACATGGTTTAACAACAAACAAAATAAAATAAAAAGAATAAAAAAAACATGTTAAAAACAAAACAGGCCCCCTTATACACCGTGTGAAATATCTTAGTCATTTTTCAGACTGGCGAAATGGGAGAACTTTGTCAGAAGAACTTGACTGAGAGTGTGTAAGAGCAAAGTTACTGCTTGCTCATCCTTTGACCCACTCTCGTGTCACCTCAAAACAGATAACTTAATCTCATTTGCCCTTTTTCTCTGTCTTCTACGTTATGTCTGTTATTGCCGTAGTCATGTTGGTCATGATTTTTGTTATATATATATTATACTTTTTGCAAATAGCTTCTTGTTCTAATCAAAGTTGATACTACATTTGTATGTATTATTACCAATGTAAATTGTACATCATTCAACCATTTGGCTTCAAAGTGCAATCATAATAAACAATTTCAATCAATCAATCAATAATCATTCCTTCAAAACAGATATGGTCGCCCTAAAGTCCTTACCTTGTGTTACTTCTTGCAGCCTCTTTTCCATGGTAGTCTTGAAGGTCTCGCTCGCTTCGTTCTGTTCCTTCATGTTCTGCTCAACAGACTTGCTGATAGACTGGTAGTGAGCCCTCTGCTCCTGAAGCTTCTTCATTTGCTCCCTCAGGACTGATGGTGCAGAGGAGAGAGAGAAATGGTCACCATTCACAGATTTCATAACAATGTATTTAGGAAAAGAATGATGCTGACATTGTATAGTAGAAGGTTTGATATTAAAAGGAAATAAACTGTATTATAATGTAAATTGCAATCGAATGGATGTACATTGCGGTTAACACACACACACGCACATAGTTTGCAAGAATCTTCAGTCAATTGAAGGAGACAGACTTAATAATAATAATAAAAAGAAGAAGAAGTATATTCTGCTCTTACAGGTGTATCTAAACTATCAACAACAACAACAAAATTTAAAACATATTTGCGAACAGTCGCAACACCTAGTTTACTGTAAGTATTTCATTTTTATGTAATGCTTATTCTGACATATATCTTAAAACTTTGCAGAGGTGAAAATGAATTAACATGTAAAATTATGACGTTTTTCCAACTATTACAATGCACACTGCACTACGATTTGGCACTTCTGCAGAATAAATTATGTTTTGTACCACTCAGCATGAAAATGTCATCACAAACAAACACATTTGATGGACACCTGAATGAAAAGAGGACACAGAGAAGACAGAAAGAGAGGTAGATAGAAAGAAACCATAATACAGTCAAACCTGATTTAGAGACCACCTGTCTACAAAGACCACTTCTTTTGTTTCCCTTGAAAATGGTTTCTCATTAAAACATGTACTAAAGTAACCTGTCTTCAGAGACCACTTTTGTGTTTTCCTTGGGTGGTCGCTGTAGACAGGTTTGACTGTAATACATCAAATGTACGCATCGTAAAGAGGAAAAAAAGAAAGTAAAATAAAAGACTAGAAAGAGAGGATGCTTACTCTTGATCTGATTTTCAGACATCCTCAGCTTGTTGTTGACTTCCTTGAGCTCCGTCTCACTCACTGTGGTCACCCCTCCATCAGTCTGCTCTAGGGCTGTAATGGCTGTAGGAGGAGGGAGGAAGGGGGACACAAAAGATATATTTAAAGTCTCACTGCACTACTTATAGCTACTTGCGCCCTCTATACAGTTAACAATGCAGTGGTACCCGTTAATCCCCCATGGTCCCCTTTTTCTTATGTTAATTGAGAGTTGATTTGATGAGATAACCACCTGCCAGTGACCACGCAGGGAGGTCTAACCCCTCCTGGCCAAACTAGTGCAGAGAGGCTTTAATACTTTACATCTTACTTAATTACATCTGCTTATCTGCTTATTGTCCTATTGGGATAGTTACCACGGAAAAGTAAGGAAAGGGGTATCAATTGGCCTGTCCTCATCAACTTGAGTTTGCCAAATAACCAGTTATTTTCAGACTCGAGATATTATCCCGAAGCTCGAAATTGCGTCCTCGCCAGACCGGAAGGGCGCAAGTTAGTCTGTTGTTTCCCAAATGGCTGGATATTTTGGAAACAAGACCAATATTTCTCTGGATATTTTCTCAACCATATATCCTGCTAATTGCAACTGCGGGCTGATGAGGACGCAAATTAACTGGCTAATTTGCGATCGGGATAGTTAAAGTAGCAGGTTATTTGGAAATCTCGGGCTGATGAGGACAGGCCTAATCAATGACTCAACCAACCATCATCTTTCTCTTTGATAGAGGACTCGAGCTTGACCTGAGCTGCCACGAGCTGAGCGTCAGTCGTCGCGGCCTGCTGTCGGACGTTCTGGAGGTCGTTCCTCATCTTGGCCAGGTCGTTGCGGGTTCTCTGATGGGAGGTGAGCTCGGAGTTCAGCTGCCTCTGTAGGTCCTGCACCTTACCCTGGGATGAGCAAATTGACAATGCAAAATATTTAGTAAGTTAAAGCCCCACTGCACTACTTATAGCTACTTGCGCCTTCTATATAGTAAACAATGCCTAATTGGTGCCTGTTAGTACCCCATGATCCCCTTTTTCTTATGTTAATTGAGAGTTGATTTGATGAGATAACCATTTGTCAGTGACCTTGCAGGGAGGTCTAATCCCCTGTGGCCAAACTAGTGCAAATGGGCTTTAAGATAGATATTGTTGACCCAGTGCTTTATTTCAATTAAGCCTTTTGAAAGAATAATCCATTCCATGCTACAGGCGCCAAATCGAGATGTTTAAATTTTTTAAAATTACGATATTCCTTTATTTTTTCCATGAAAAAAAAAATAAAATTAAGTTTCAATTTCATGGGATATATTTAGAGCCGCTTTGATAATTAAACAAGCCTTTTAATCACTTAATATTACATGTGACATCTTACTTACCATCCATGATTTGAGAGCATTTTGATGCTGGTCAGTCTCACCGTCCAGTCTCCTCCTGACCAAGGAGAGCTCTCGCTCCATTCCCTCAAGCTGATTGGTCATCCTCGTCTTGGACTCAAAGTCTGACCGCTCAAGATTATTCTGAACAAAAAAAGAAAACAGAATACCATGGAAACAAACAAGTCCAATGAGAGCTTCTCCATTTTCATACAAAAAAAAATCAAAGTTCATTTCTTAGATTTATAGGAATAATGTACATTGGAAGAGCTGCTGCTTTGAAAAGATAAAATTCTATTTAGGCTTGGAAGATCTAACCTAGATTGCTAAAAAAATACCTGTATTTGTTGTTAATTAATGAGTCATACTTAATATCTTGTGTTATCTCTTTAAATTGGCAAAACAATGTCGTGTGAGAGCTTCTTACTTTTCATACTGAGTGCTTTCTGTACCTGTTGTACAGTGTAGGTTGTGAGTTCTCTGGATCTTTCAATAAAGTCCAAGGAGTAATTTTCACGCACTTGTTGCCAATTTGACAAAGAAGAGGATTTATACTGGTCTTAATGAGCCAATGGAGGCAGGCGTGTTATATGTACCTGCATCTGTTGTAGATAAGTAAGGAATATTCCTTGATTTTTATGTTCCCTCAAAATTTTACATGCAAGTGTTGCCAATTCGAAGTGCTACCCTGTACCTGTATATGATTAAAGTAAGGAGCAGTCCTTGGTTCTTATGCTCTCTCAGCATATACTCTCTCTCCTGGCTAAGACGTACATTATCTCCACCTCCTTGAGGAGCCCATTCTCGTCTCTCAGGTTCTTAGTCAATTGCCAATTTGACAAAGAAGAGAATTTATACTGATCTAAATGAGCCAATGGAGGCAGGCGTGTTATATATACCTGTATCTGATTTAGGTTAGTAAGGAGCAGTCCTTGGTTCTTATGCTCTCTCAGCATAGACTCCTTCTCCTGGCTCAGACGAATCTCCACCTCCTTGAGGAGCCCATTTTCGTCCCTCAGGTTCTTGGTCTCCACCTCGGCCTTGTTCAGCTTCTCCTGCGCGGCCAACAAGTCCTGGCAAAAGAGAAGACAAAATTATGTTCTTGCTTTGTTTCCAGGGGGGTGTTTCACAAAGTTCCTAAGTCGAACTGAACTCTAATGTTGGACTTAAACATTATGGAGAGCCATTTGTAGCCTTAAATTAAATTATACAAAAGCAAAGAGCCAAGTATTTAAGAATTTTCATAAATTCCACATCAAGAAAACAGAAATATAAATGATTTGAATCAACACTTTACCATATGCCTTTTGAAATTACTTTTACAAAATATTTTCAAAGATGCTATAAACAGCTTTCTATAATTTTTAAGTCCAACTTAGGATCTTTGTGAAACACCTCCCTGGTGTTCAAAGAATCATGTACAACTATCTCTTTCAATGCTGAAGATTACTGCAGTATTTTGTGTAAGGCATCACTACATGGAGCTGAACGTGTACTAGCACACCTAATTTCCCCTTTCTTTGAAGAGTGCATTGGTTTCTAAACTACATACTGTAGGTTGTAAGACTCCTGTATGCAGAACCTCGGTTTAGATCCCACCTGAGGGACTGAGTATTTTCCAAGTTTCACCTTGAAAACTGTATTCAGGATACCTGTACAAGGCGGAATTTCTTGATGGGACCACAGATTTGCTGTGAGCGAGACTTTCTACTTTCTTTTTTCTACCTAGCCTGGTGTAGCGACATACTGCACATGAAAACTGATTACCATCTCCCTGTAAGAGAAATGCACTGTTTCGCAGCATTTACAAAGTGCATACCTGTGTGACTGAACTGGCAGTTTGCTGAAGTGTTACAACCTGGCTGGAGAACTTCTGATTCTTGTCTGCAAGCGCTGATATCTCCTTCTTGTATCCATCAACATTGGACTGCAAGACATTGTAACGCTCACTTGAAAAGTCCAACTACAATACATAAACAAGATTATAAGTCATTATTAAACATATCATTTTGAATGATATGTCCTGAATGCAAATGTATGTCAACAGTGTATCAATTGAGGAAGTCATCATAGCTTTTATGACAATAAATTGCATGCACTGGCTGAATCGAGCCCATTAATCTCTATTAAAAGGACTGGTCACAAATCTTCAAAAGTAGAGGAGGTAAAAGACCAATGAGACTGCTGGTTTTATGACTGATGCTCCAGCGGCAATTACTAAGGATCCATTTCTAACTCTAATCAAATCCACAAACTCCATTCTTGGGCCCCATTTCACAAAGAGACAAATAACAGTTTTTGTTATAAGCTTGTGAAATCCTTGCTTGTGATTGGTTATCAGCAGATTTGTCACTGTTTTTTTAAAGGCTCTGTGAAACAGCTCCCTGGAGCAAACACTATATGTAACCCTGAAACTAAAATTTAGCTCATTAATTTTAAGTGTGAGATTCATGTTACCATCAAAACCCAACCCCAACACCAACCTTAACCATATACTTTTAAACAAATTACAGCATTATTCACCAGGGACACATTTCACAGAGCCTTTTTTAAAAATGACAAATGACAAATATCAGTGAAAAATCTGCTGATAACCAATCAGAAGCAAGGATTTCAGTAGCTTATAACAACAACTGTCATTTGTAACTGATGACAAGTTTTGTGAAACACCCCACAGGGCATGTCTTACATAAAAGTGCCCGATGGCAGCGGTGGGATTATGCATGCTTGTACACTCAGGGGTTAATTTTGCATATACAGTCAAACCTGCTTTAGTGACCACCTGTCTACAAAGGCCACATTTGTTGTTTCCCTTGAATATGGTTTCTCAATGAATCATGTACTAAAGGAACCTGTCTACAAAGACCACCTGTCTACAAAGGCCACTTTTTGTGTTTCCATTGGGTGGTCGCTATAGACAGGTTTGACTGTTTCTATTTAAATGCACATTATTTTGCATCCCAACTGTAAGTGATAAACATTCAAATAACAGAGATTGTAGATAAAAGTAGGTACATGAATATCTGTATGGGAAAATATTATTCTGAAGAAAGTGGAGACATGAAGACATAAGAGAAACGAGAGAGAGGAATACATGAGGTTTGATGGAATGTATCTCCTGATGATTTACCTGTGATGATAGCTTGGTGTTCTGCACTCTGAAATCCGACAGTTCTTGTCTAAATTTCTCCAGCTGCTCATTCAACATTCTGTAATTGATAAAAACAAGAAACAACCATTTCAAAATTGATATCTAGAACAAAACATTATACAAAAGTGGTAAGATAAGCAGTCCAAAAAAAGGTCTCTATATATATATATATATAAGCAAGTTTAGTGAAACTGCAATTTCTGACAGTGCTCAACTGTAGGAGCAAATGTAGATATAGGAGTTGGAAGGTTACACTTTATTGGTACGAGTTATACAGACTGTTTCGCCAGAAGGCTCATCAGTAACTAAATACATAATACAATCATGGCGAAGTTAAAAATGCTCAAACTTTCACTGATCTGTTTCTCTTATTTTTCTGCTTCTATTAAAACCAACTAATCAGGGTGACCTTCCCCTTTAAAAGCGTGGATAGTGAAGACATGAATATAAAATACACAAGGACCTCAAACATTATCACAGAAGGAAAGCTTACCTTTCATTTTCTCCCTTCTCCTTCCTGTATGTATCAAACTCTGTCTGTAGGGTGTCCAAGGCAACCTTCGTTTCTTGGTTGCTAGGCAACAGGAGTCCAGGACTCTTCTGACTGGCCGTCGTCACTAGAGGGCTCTTCTTGTGCAGACTCTTCTGGGTGGGTGTGGTGAAGGGTGATGTGGGCAGCTACATGTATGAAGAAAAAAAATAACAGAGATTTGTTTTGTTGTTGTTTTTCTTTTCATAAAAGAATTCTAACAGTTCTGTTTAAAGGGATCCGGTAACTTTGTCTCAGATTCTGAAAACATATTCTGGATTTAGCTCATGATGCAATGATAATTATAAACCTTTAGGTCAGTCAGGAACCCCGTGACTTTTACAAGCCGATCGCCTGTCTGATTATCAAGATATTTATGATCGGAATTACACGTTTTGAAAACCGTTCGCCTGACGGTTTTCATAACACTACAGTCTATTGGGGGAAACGAGTATGGTAAAACCGGTCATTCAAAGATTTTTACTTTTTTGAAGCACTTCTTGATCATTTTGAAGCGCGATTTTTTTAGGGCTTCAATATTACATCATATCACAGACACTGATAACACGTAGGGCCTTGTATCTCAGATTTAACATTGTTAAACGATCCCTTTAACTTCTGTGTAACGGCATCTCCAATATGAACACCTCTATGCCCGGCAATGGAACAATCTAAACTTACAGACAGCATCCCGTGACGTGAAAGAACCACTTATATGTGAGGGAAAAGCTCCTTTCAGCAATAAAAATCCCCATAATAGATAATGGTCTCTCACTTCTTAAATACCTACAAGTGGAAGATACCACTTACTGGTGGGGGTGAGGCTCAGTTCTGTGATAATAACACTTTATTCATGGACTCTCCCTAATTCTAACATGACACTTGTTAAAGCCCCACTGCACTACTTATAGCTACTTGCGCCCTCTGTATAGCAAACAATGCCTAAGCAGTGACAATCGGTCCCCCATGATCCTCTCTTTCTTAGGTTAATTGAGAGCTGATTTGATGAGATAACCATCTGTCAGTGACAATGCAGGGAGCTCTAATCCCTCCTGGCCAAATTAGTGCAGCGGGGCTTAAATGTGTCTGTATGGAAGAAACCACTTACTGGTGGGGGTGAGGCTCCTGTCTGTGCTAATAGCACCCTATACATGTCCCTCTGTCTGACAATGGACTCTACCATTTCAGTCTGTCGTGACCTCGCTGACCTCATGCCATCCAGTTCCTCTATGGATTCCTCAAGCTGCTTCTTTAGCTCAGCAGTTCTGAAAATAAAGGAAAAAAAGTTAGAAATGGCATGATTATCCAGGATTATCATATAAGTTGTATATACAATTAAGTCTTTTCCTCTGGTAAAAATCATATATCATATTAGTACAACAAATATATAAAATAAAGAAAAGAGCTTACTTGGATTGTAGTGTCTCTGATTCTTCTTTCTCCTGTTTCTCACTGAGATCTCTCACGACACCAAGCAAACGTTCGTTCTGCTGCTGAAGCTCTTCAACAGATCTGTCGATACAAAGCAATTTGGGATAGACATCGTCATTCTCGCCACCACAACTATGGTATTTGGACATAAAGGGCAGCACTGGCCATGGGTATATTTGGCAAAGGCACTTCCGGTTCCCATACAAATACCATGGGTCAAGAACTGGAAAGTCTGATAGACATTATAGTTTCAGAACCAATAAACTATAAGGTACAGATTAAGATGGTGCCTACAAAGATCTCATCGAAATGTCAGGGGGGGGGGGGGTCATGAAACCTGAACAATAATTTAGTAAAATAAGGAAGTAGTTGACACTGCTATACATTCTCTATGGAAACAATTTGTTGAAGGTACATTGGACAAATGAATGGAATGAAACAGGAAAAGTTTTAAAAAGCTGAATCAGTGTTGTTACATCTGACACAAGACTTGTATGAATGAAATATAACTATTTTCTACAAGCTAGAAGTGTTATCAAGGTCATATTCACATGAGAAAAGGTCAATTTTTGACAGTAATTGCAGTGACATACGTGTACATTTATTTGTAATTGTTTCAATTCCAAATGGATCTGTGATTAAAGATTGATTGGGTATAAGACTTGTTTTAACATGGAAGGTTGCACAAATGAACACTCTCTAAAACTTCAACAAGTTACAATTTTGTCCTGAACATCACTTTGTATACTACTATAATTATCAGCAAAAATGGAATCAATAGCAGTCATCCAGTATCAGTCATCTACCCAGGTGTAAATGGGTACCTGATATGCTTGAGCGCTAGTTACTTTGGCAGCTTGGCTATAACAAGGGTAACATGTGTAAAGTGCCATGAGCGTCAGAGCCTGGCAGATATCAGCACTATATAAAATGTCCATATTATAGGGGTGATAGTGAGCACTAGAGAAAAAAAAAAAAATTTCCACCCTCAACCACGCCCTTCTCGAGTATTCGGGATAAAATGGCATCTAACATCATTCCCCCCTTTTGAGTAAGAACAATTAGGAAATAATAGGGAAAAACAGGGAAGAATATAAAAAATAAGGGGAAAATCAGGAAGTAAAAAAAATTGGGAAAAAATTGAAAAAATTGGGAAACCGATTTAAATCGTGTTTTTATCAGGCCTGATATTATTATTATTATTATCCTTCTCCTCCTTACCTGAAAGACACAAGCGTATCCGAGATGACTTGAGAAGAGCTGGAGATATCGCTAGAAGACACGTCCATCTGATCAGGAGCTTGGATGGGACCTCCCCTGGCTTCAGAGACCTCACGAACCAGGACACGAACCTACAGCAAAAATAATAACAATAAAAATATGACCCTTTTATATAGCGCCTAATACAAATGTCTCTATAAGCACTTTACAGATATATTTTTACCCCGGTCATTGGATTCAATACTTACCCGCACACATTGTGTGCACAATCTCCACTCCCTGGGGAGCATTCCAGTCGGGCGTTACTTGACGTTTAAAAAATGTTTGACCAACAATGACGGTCACATCCAACCGGTACCAGGTACCCATATAACACCTCCCTCCCCTCTCCTCCCCTTTTTTGAATTTTGATTTTGATTTTCAATCATAAAATCTTGATAATCAGACAGGCGATCAGCTTGCAAAACTCATGGAGTTCCTGACTGACCTAAAGGTTTTAAATTATGATTGCAGCATGAGCTCAATCCAGGAAAATATTTCAGAATCTGAGACAAAGTTACCCAAGCGATCCCTTGAAATGGTAGGCTTTACTACTTCAGCCAGAAGGGATTAGACCACCCAGCGAGCCAGCGAGGTCACTGTGACAGGTGGCCATCTCATTAACTCAACTCTCATTTAACATAAGAAAAGAGGATCATGGGGGACCAACAGGCACCGATTGGGGAAGTTTTCTATATAGAGGGAGCAAGTAGCTACAAGTAGGACAGTGTGCCTTTAATATGTTGTCCCCTGAATATGAAATATTGGTCATGTCTACCTGTTGTCCAAGATCTGTATTCTTCTGTTTCAGCCTGATGTTCTCTCGTCCAAGATGGCTCACTCTGCGGTCGGAATCATCCACGTTGATTCTCAGCTGCTCACCCTCCTACAAAGCAAGGAAACGATCAGTGTATTTCAACACATGAACAAATATTCACCACAAGAAATATATTTTACAATGAACATCATGAGCGAATAGCTCTAGGCAAGGTTCCATAGTGACTTATTTTTACAGCTGGTTCAAATTTGAAAATTTAGGGGTTTAGAATCGGACGTTGGGTCACCTTTTTAATTTCAACATTTAGGGGTCAGGGAGAAAATTTGGGGGCACTATTGCACAGGGGGCCTCTAAATGTTGAGCCCTGATTATAAATGAAATCTTATCATGAGTGCTTACTTAAATCCTAATGACTGATAGACAATCTATTCATGGACCATAAATTTGCTTTCAACCAGCATCAGTTACACATAGGAAAATCTACATTGGGATAACCAACATGGCTCCCTATATGGTTTATGGGCTTACCAACATGGCTGCCTCTAGTTTAGATGAAAGTTGGCTGACTGTTCCCAAGGCTTGCTCATAGTCCTCCCTCTGCTTCTGAAGAACAGGAGCCTTCTCCTCTATCTCCTGCAAATGTAGAAAAAAAAAACACATTTTTAAAATAAATTTTAGGCAGGGTACATTTAATTTATTTCAAAGATAAGGTGAAGAATTGAACATGTGAATGCATTGTGAAAGATACGTTCGGAAGTTATTGGGAATGGCTGATCATAAAAGAACCTCAAAATAAATTTGTATAGCGAGGGTTGGAATATTCAAACGAAATTGATTTTGTCTTGATGGATGGTTTAGAGTCGAGGCTATGGAGTGTAGATCACAAGGCACATGATTCATGGTGGAGAGTGGCAAATGTAGATTAACCTCTTGCCAAAGGATGTTAGTGCCGTGTCGGGGATCAAACAACGACCTTTGAATTTCAAGTCAAGTGCTTAATCCACTCGACTACGACACTTCTAAGGCTCACATGACTACATGTCTACACCATAGGGTTTCGGCAGAATGCTCTATGCAGTCTATTCATGTTCAACATTCATATAATAATATCACTGCTCATTGAGAATGAAAATACTACTTACAACTAGAATCTGGTCCATGTACATATTGAGTCTTTGGTTCTCCTGTTTTTCCATCATCAGCTCGTCTGAGGTCCTCACATACTGGCTGTAGATCTGCAGAATTGGACAAATAGATTCATTTGTTGGTTCACTCACAACTGGGATTACTCAATATATGAGCTTAGAATAGTTTACGCATCTTACTATTAAGACTTTTTTACCCAGAGATTTACCCAAACCATAATAATAATAATATATTTTAATAGTATAGATAATTTATATAGCAGCGTCTATCTAGACAATTCTATTCAGAGGCGCACAAATTAATTATTACCCCGTCTTTAGTGTTACTGACAGGAAGTTTTCTCCTGTGTTTGATAAAATCATGTAACGATAAGTCGGGAAATGCTGACGTCATAGACGAGGCTTTTTGGGGAATTGACATGTATTTGACTATTGAGGTCGTTTCTTTGCATGCCACTGATTTTCCTTGTTTGGAACGGTCGGACGACCGTGAGGTTGTGATGATAAATTAATTCTTTTTGATGAGCCCAACGTTGTAAGTAGACAATTACATTGCTATTCCTTTAAAGAGTTGTTGAATGATAATCAGTGATAATTTCTATTAATTATGTTGATGGTTAGTGATGTAAATTTGTTGCGAAAGATTTGTATTTAAGTACGTAATGTAGCAGTGGTATACATAATACGTGCAAATAATGCATGCATGCACTGTACACGTTTAGTGACCGGAAGTAGTCACGCCTCTTTTTTTAGTTGACAGATTATGAAGTGAGCCATGATAAATAAGGCTGTATGATAGCTGAAGCATATTATTTCTTACAAGGTTGATATAAATGTTCAAGCTGGTTATTAGTGATGAATAATAAATAAATGTTTCATTTAGGGAGATAAAAGTTAGGCTTTGAATACATTGTTTATAAGTATTTTGCTAAGCTAAACTTGGGCCTTGTGTTGTGAAATTAGGGTTTTGAGAGCATTGCTTTGACCGGTTATTGTTTACATATTTGAAAGTCAGTGCTAGGATATAAGCAAGCAAGCCTTTTGTATCAAATAATTGTATTTAAGATCAGATATTGTTTCAGGAGAGGTTTTTGGATATGACACATAAATAATTGACAGAAACAAGTTAATTCATATTCAGTTATGCATTTATTGATTGAGACCAGACAAGATGGATAATTATTGTAACAAATAATGTCATTGATAAGCATGTGTACATGTATTCCAGTATTGATTGGATGTTTCCTTTATTTGTATTGTTCAATTACAGCTTGATTGTCAGCGTGGTCTCATACTGGGTTTAGAACTTTGTGTCCTGCTTGATTATGTATCGTCACAGTGTCCCCAACATTTAGCCTAGCTGCCATTACAGCGCTCTCGCAATTCAAGGAATTAATTCATGCCAGGTACCCATTTACCTCACCTGGGTCGAGTGTGGCAAACTTAGATCAACACCTTGTCAGTGTCCCCAACATTTAGCCTAGCTGCCATTACAGCGCTCTCGCAATTCAAGGAATTAATTCCTGCCAGGTACCCATTTACCTCACCTGGGTCGAGTGTGGCAAACTTAGATCGACACCTTGTCAAATGACATAAGTGCCATACACAGTTGTAAAACCAGAAATCTCATGACGTGAAACTCATGCGATCTTGAATATATGACGTTTATAAAGCAGAAAGAAATTTATGTAAATTGCGTAAATTCACTTAACATCATTTTCTGGTTTCATGGTATGTTGGACCAATAGTGCTCTGTTTTTCTCAATCATGTTACAATTTCTAAACCCAATATTCAATTTAGATTAAAGGAAAGAGTTTTCGATGGATAACTTGCCTCTGTGAGTGTCATGCCTGACTTGATGAATGAGCTGGCAGCCGCGGCCGTCGGGCATAGATTACTCAGCTCTTCATCGGACATGGGCGCTACACCTAATGGGAAAAAAAAAATGTGAGAACGAAAAGTGAGGCAGGGGAAATACAGGAAAATAATACAAGATGGAAGAGGGAAGGAAAGAAAGTGAGAGCAAGACAGATTAAGAAAGAGAGAAAGAGAAAGAGAGGAAACATAATTTTTTTTGTCAGATTTGGGGGCCCAATTTGGGACCTACATGTATAAGGTATTTGGTCTTTTGCTGTTCCATACACTATCAAGTATTGACGAGTTTTTAACATAAATCATTATCATTTCAATTAATATCTGGGCCCTGTGATATAAAGAGTTTCGATTGATTTGGATTGCGAAATAAATCGCAAGTCCTCCAATCAATCACAAGTTTTCAGTCTCCTATCTCTCATGTACACCGTCATGATTGATATCATTCACAAATCAGTTGCGATTAATGTCAACTTTTTGTAAGACAGGGCCCTGGCCTGATCAATCATATTGAAATCTTACATGTGGTCGGCAATATAATGAGACACAGTAGCTCGGATTTGCCGTAACTGAGCTGTAAAATAAATTAATGGGCCAAGATGCATAGAATATCCAAATAGTGTAATCGGGTATCTAGAAAAACAAAATGCACCGGTACCTCTCTTGCGGGCCGCGGCCAGGAGATCATTGGCGTCTTCCAGTTCTCTCTGCAGTTTAGCGATTTTGTCATCTGAAAGAAAAAAAAGAGAGAAAAAAAGTCACAGGTTAATGATTGTCCTGCGGAATTAGCTATGGGATCATCAAGTTGTCTGCTAATCCCCCCTCCCCCGAAAAGAGTAAAGAGTCACTCCTGTAGTTCAGGATAATGACCAGAGCTGCCAACCTTGTGCTACCAAAAACAGGAACCAAAAAAAAAAAGAAAAGAAATTTCAAGCCCCCCAAAAAAGGAATTCATTAAAACAAAGCTTACAACCACGCGCGACACACTTCTAATGCAGGAATGTCCATTCCTCATGCTGTTTTTCATATATTAAGACCCACAGTTTATTTACAAGTAGGTACATTTTTTTGGTTATTATTCTGGTATTATCAACGTTTCATTCTTTCTGAGAATATTTTTCTCTTCAAGTATGTTTTCAAGTATGTTTTAACCTTAGTTTTCTATTGAATTTGTGATCAAATCAACATTTTAGGGCAGTTGTTTCACGAGCGGTACCGGTATATTAAAAAAAAAAAAAAAATTATGACAAAAATTATTTTATGAATAAAAAAAGACGTACAACTGTAATAAGGAGGAAAAAAACAGATCAATTCCTGGAAAAATGTAATGGTTGGCTGAATGACCAACAGAACTTGTGAAATGAGCACACCAGGAACAAGATCTGCCCCTAGGAGGGTTATTTCTCACACTATCTTATTCTTAACCCAAATTTTGAACACTCTGATCTGTAGGACATGCTCGGGCAGTCCAAAACAAATTCTGTCCAAGTCAGTTTTTTTTCTAGATCCAAACATTCAGAGTAAACAAACTGTGGGCGATTGGTCTTCCATCAATATCATGATACGCACAAAAAGGAGGGGGGAAATATAATAATAATATCTAAAATTTATATAGCGCTGGTTTTACAGAACAAATGAAAATTACGTTTAATCTAAATATGTAATAAGCATCAACAAGAAACGTAAAATGAACATTGTGCTTAATTTAGACAAAACAAACGCTCTTACTTAACTAACAGTGTATTTACAGTAACATGATAATGAAAATGAAAAATACAACAAGTAACATAAATGAAACTGCAATAATTATGTAGTTGAATAATGAATAAATTACAAGAAGATAGGACATGTGCTAATAAATTAGGTATGAAGACGGGGAATTACTTTGTGTTGAATAGGTAAGTCTTAAGTCTACGTTTAATCTCACTCATTTCTTTCTCTTTGACTGCGTGACTACTCTCCTGCTCCTTGGTTCTGGTCTCCATCTCATTGGTCGCTTCCGTTGCTTGCTTGAGGAGACCTCTCAGCTCCTCCACCGCTGTGATGAGTTCCTTCACACGCGAGTCTCCCTCATCACCGGCACGCTGTCATTGATCAAATAAAAGGTAGTAAAGTTAAGGATGAATATTGCAGTTAAAAACAGAAGTATAAACAGATTTGTGGCTTGTTAAAGCGGGACTGCACTACTTGTAACTACTTGCACCCTCTGTATAGCCAACAATGCCTAAGCGGTACCCATTGACCTCCATGTTTACCTTTTTCTTATGTTAATTGAGAGCTGATTTGAAGAGATAACCGCCTGCCAGTGACCATGCAGGGAGGTATAATCCCTCCTGGCCAAACTAGTGCAGATGGGCTTTAACATTTTTCTTGCTCGTTTAGGAAAATTTTGTGGCTCCTCAATGGTTGTGATCAGTTCCTTCACCAGAGCCTCGGCTTCTGTTTAAATGACTGAACATCTCCTCGTGTATTTTAATTTGGCAATCGACAGCTCTCCTCCCCCTTCTCTCTCTCCCTTTCTCTTTCCCTCCCTCTTTCTCCCCTCCCCTTCGTCGCCTCCTCCATCCATCTCCTCTCCCTCCCTCCTTCTCCTCTCCCTCCCTCCTTCTTCTTCTTCTTCTTCTTCTTCTTCTTCTTCTTCTTCTCCTCCTCCTCCTCCTCCTCCTCCTCCTCCTCCTCCTCCTCCTCCTCCTCCTCCTCCTCCTCCTCCTCCTCCTCCTCCTCCTCCTCCTCCTCCTCCTCCTCCTCCTCCTCCTCCTCCTCCTCCTCCTCCTCCTCCTCCTCCTCCTCCTCCTCCTCCTCCTCCTCCTCCTCCTCCTCCTCCTCCTCCTCCTCCTCCTCCTCCTCCCCCCCCTCCCCTCCCTCCCTCCCCCTCTCTCTCTCCCCACCTCCCTCCCCCTTTCTCTTTCTCCCTGCCCCCATCTCTCTCCCTCTTCTCCCTCCCTCCCCCTCCTCCCTCCCTATTTCTCTCTCTCCTCTTGTGTCTCTGTATCCTTACCTTGTAGAGGTTAGCGAGCTTGTTCTGAGCCTGTACCTCTGCTTGGAACTGCTCCTCATTTTGAGAGATCACGTTGAGGCCCTGTTAAATGAGGAACATGACCAACAGGATGAAATTTTAAAGGCATCGTTTAACAATGTTTCCAGTTGTACAATTATGAGATACATGGCCCTAAGTGGTATCGGTGTCTGTGATATGGTGTAATACTGAAGCCCTAAAAAATTGCGCTTCAAAATGATCCTGAAGTGCCTCAAAAAGTAAAAATCTTTGAGTGACTGGTTATACCATACGGTACTCATTTTCTCCAGTAGACGGTAGTGTTATATAAAATCCGTTGGGAAAAAACGGTTTTTGAAATTTCTATTTCCAATCATAAATATCTTGATAATTAGACAGGCGATCGGCTTGTCAAAGTCATTGGATTCCTGACTGACCTAAAGGTTTATAATTATAATTGCAGCAAGAGCTTAATCCAGGATTTCTGTTTTGGAATCTGAGACAGTGTTACAGAGTCACTTTAACAAATAAATATATGTCACATGTATATTCTGACAATTAGCTATACCACTATTACATATATGTGAGTAACCAGAAGCAATACACAAATTAACTATCATGTATGAAATTCAATGGTTTGAACAAATGTAATACATTCACTATTTATCAAGTATTGCCAATCAGTAATTATACATTTCCATTAAAAACTTCTTTTTTTGCCAAGCAACATAGAGTTAATAAAAATGTACCACATGCATTGCTATTTCTGCTCAACATTATTTCTCTTTCATGGCTAAAACAATGGATATCATTTGCATGAATCATAATATTGAAATAACTTTGACAGCAAAACAAATTGAATTGAAGAAAATTCTTACAAAGAAATGTATATATCTTCTTATACATCCATTCATTTTAATTCAACTTCACTACCTAGAGGCTGTACTGACACCCAACAATCATACAAGGTACATGTACATACTGACGATGCCACAATCTATAACTCCCCCCCCCCCCCCCCCCCAACAACAACAACAACAAAAAAAAATAATAATAATAATAATAATAATAATTTTTTTTAAATATCTTTAAAAAAAAAGGGGAAAATGAATAATACAAAAAAAAAAAACAAAAAAAAAATGTCTACCTCTTTGACCTGTCCGCTAAGCTCTTCAATCCTCTTGGCTTGTTCCTGGGTCACTTTCCTCAGGTTCTCTGATGCGTCCAGGGCGTGTTTACACTCATCAGACTTATCGTTCAACTGGCTCTGTAGCTGCAAGATCTGGTTGGACTGATTGAAAGAAGATTACAAATTGGATGTGAATGGAGTCATCGGGAATGGGTGTGCTTACATTCAAATGGGACCTGTTTCACAAAGCCTTTTTTCAATGACAAATGACAAAAATCAATGAAAACATCTGCTGATAACCAATCAGAAGCAACGATTTCAGTAGCTTATCACAAAGACTGTCATTTGTCACTGATAACAAGTTTTGTGAAACGGGGCCCTGATTTATCATTGAACTGGCTCTGAAGCTACAAGACCCGGTTAGAATGGTATCAAAGTAAAAACAAAGTTTAATGTTTTTAAATCGTTACTAGTAAGACTGCATCTATAAAACAAAGGAATAGCATATGAATATCCAACAATAACACATAGATCGTTGAACAGGCATTTCATTTATGGACACAAAACCAATAGAGAAATGTCTTGCCCTAATGTCCATGGTATGGACTCCAGTTTGAGACTGAGTCACACCTTTCAGATGGTGATGTTAAAAGTCGATCCCCAGACTTAAATTATTCATTTATTATTGATTCACGTCTGTTAAAACTCAAATAACACACATACACAACCCGCTCTATCAAACATTGCCTAAATCCAATTTGTCAATGCTCTCTTGGCCTGTCTCCAATTTCTTCATTTTCCTCTCTTTCCCCACACCAGACGTTCCTCGGTACGCTTCTTTCCTTTGGCAAGATATTAATCTATATTTGCCACATTCGACATAGGTTAGATAAATGGGTACCTGGTAGGATTATTCCTTGAAATGCACTGTGCGCTGAATACGGCTGCCGGAGCTAAATTTCGGGTAATGATTTCCAAAGCTCTTTGGAAGCGCATAGAGACGTTATATAAGGTGATATGCGCTATACAAGAACCAAATATAATTATCATTATTATTCATTCTTTCTTACCTTATCTTTTCTGAGTGTGAGAACCTCGCTGGTCTTCTTCTCTAGCTCTGTCTGAAGGTATCCACTCTGTGAAGTCAAGCCCTGGATCTCCTGTTGAAGACGCTTCTCCCGGTACTAACAATGAAAAGATGAAACATTGTTTTAAAGTTTTAAAATGTAAATTGATAAATTTATGTAAATTTGAATGTTATTCAAAGCTTAGGACAGAAAGGAGACACATCCATAAATGTAAATCTGTTAGTACATGTACCTACACAAAGATTTCCACAACGAAAGATCCAAGACTTGATGTTCGTAACAGATTTACATTTACAGAGTGCTTGTTTTAAAAAATAACAAGAAAAGCTTATGGAAAAGGGAGAACAACAAGAAAAAAAAGAAGAAGAAGAAGGAGGAGGAGGAGGAGAAGAATAGGGAGAGCCAAAATTGTAGCTATTTAAAGTGAGCTTAAGTTGCGAGATAAAATTGTCTCTCTTTCCTATCATTTTTTCAATTTGAAGCACATTGAGACACTATGGCTATAAAGAGCACTGTAGTGATACCTGGAAATCATTACTACTATATCACAATACACAAAGAAGGGTACAATCTTATACTTTACCTTCCATGACACATCTTCATTTTCTAGCTCGTCCACCCTCATCTGCAGCTGTGTCCGGGAACCATTGGCTGTAGCAAGCTTCTGAGACATGCTATCCCACTCATCTGAAAATATAAGATGGTAGAAGAGCAATAGATAAGGTTGAGTTATGGTCATGTGATTGCATTGTAAAAGAAGCGGTGTGGAATCTATCAAAAAAGGTTGATTATCTAGCATATAAGTATTGGTGTTTACTGTAAGGTTCTGAAATCATCAAAATGATAGGAAATCTGGCCCAGTCTTGGTAAAGTTACAAGCACTGTACATAGAAAGAAGTATATGGGACTACACGGACATGTGGCATAAAAATCTGTCCATTTTGTATGATGTTACATGCCATATTTAAAATATGAAGGCATTTGAAGAGGCCTGCTTTTCAGGGAACATTTTTTCTCTGATGTTCTTCCACACTTTCACAATAACAATGATAACGCTCACAAATTATTTTTCACCTCTTCCCAGAACTCAATCTTCTCTAATGAAACTACACTTGTAGTCGAGCAATTTCTTGACTAGATATTGGATTGGCCTGTAGATTCACTTACTCTGTAGCTGGTCCAGCTGTTTGGTCTTCCTCTCAACCACCTGGACGAGGTCCTGCTTGTCGGCCTCGAGCTGCTGACTGACCCTAGCCAGCTCCTGGTATGAGCTGGCCGTGCCCTCCGTTTGACCCTTGAACTCTTCCAGCTCCAGCTTGGCTGCCTGCAGCTGGCTCTCTGTATGAACGCAAGTTACACAAAAAAGGCGCATTTTACAAAGGGGAAGTTCATACATGTATATCCTTGGACTGCTCAAAGTATTAAGTAGTCATCAAGAGATGACATCTATACTGGAGTTACTCAACAATAATAATAATAACAGTCGGTTCTTGTTTATTGCTCATGTCCGTCAGACTTGACACTCCTGGCATTCCACAATTAAAAGAGCTGTAAAGTGTGAACCTTGGGCCATATTCTGAAAACTGTGTTCGGGTTAGGAAAAATGATGTTCATTTTCACAAATTCAAATTTTGTGGCACTCAACAGTTACCATTGGTGCTTGTGCAGATGTCTCTTTAACCTTGACACAAACGCTGCCAGTTTTACATTAACCAATGATTTGTGCTAGTTTTGAAAATGACAATTAAAAAAATTTTACGAACATAAAAGACAACATCGATTTCAGAATACCACTCATTGATTATAAGTGGTTAAATACTGAAGATGGGAAGCTTTTCTAGATAGGTTCTACTTAAGTACAGTCCATATCTGAGAGATAGCATTACCTGGAGGGGCAAACAAGGATATCTTTATTCCTCAACATCGAAGTAAACATATGATATCCCACAGAATGATGATATAAATGACAATTAATAGGCAAGTGGTCTCTGCAGTAAGATCAACAGTTTGCAATATATCTGACCTTTTGACCTGAATTATGCCATCGTTATTACAGGGATACAAGTTCATTTCATTGAGTAAGCCTAAATAGAGACTCTGACATCCAGGGGCGGCTGGGGCCTGTTTCTCGAAACCATCATAAGTCTAACTTCTTGGACATCCCATCGAAACGTGGTATAGAATTGACACACGTTCCTATGGGATATCCAGGAACTTAGACTTATGACGTTTGGAGAAACTGGCACCTGGAGTCATATATGTGCTGTATAAAATGAAGCCTGAAGCGGAGAGGTGTCAGGGCCTGGCTATGGTCTGAAAAACTGACATGCCTGATGTTAGCAGTTACTTTTAAGATATTGAATAAATATTATTTCTTTACCAAAATCTTCCACTTTTTTCTTTGCATCCTGAAACTGAGTGGACTCTGTTTCCAGCTTCTTGTGTGCTGCAATCAGCTGTTTCTCAAGTTGTTCATAGCGTTGCTCTGTACAGGAATAAAGAAGGAGATAAACTGCATTTTGAAATCATAAGTTTTTGAGAATCAGAAATCCCTTACAACCATTTAAGTGCACACTGCACAACTGCCATGCCACAAGCTATGTGTACATTTAGTATATTAAAAGTAGTGATTCAATGATATTGTAACAACACAGAGTGTCATAGGTTTGAACCTAGCCACTGTGACGCTTTGTGTGTCATTTGACTAGGAAAAATAAATCTAGACCTTCTTAGGCTTTTAGATAAGCTTGTACTTTTTAATTTTAGAATAAATGCTGTACTGTAGGCCCTATCGCTGGTTCGTATATATGAGCGCTTTGAGCATTTTTATGTACAGGCTATAGATCTATAAATATCTAACATGTATTTATGTATTATGGGTATTCAAAAAGTTAATCATTTCTTCTTTAGAATTATAGGATTTGTCTTTTTTTTAACAGTAATAAAATGAACTTCCATGTTCATTTATTCTAGATCTAATTTAATCTTTAAGCAGTAGAGGCGCTGGTCTGAGAACGAGGAGGGTTTGTATAAACAAGGATACCCTAACCTTGCATCTACTTCTGTGTCAACTCTTTCTTATGGTAATCGCTCCTTTCGCAAAGCTTCTGCTGAACTTTGGAACAGATTACCTTTAAATGTAAAAAACTGTCAAACTGTTAACCTATTCAAAACTAGTCTTAAGACACATTTATTCAAAATTGCGTTCGATGATTAATTAACTCTGTTCACTTTGATGTGTATTCCATATGTGTATTTGCATTTTTAGTTTTGTATAGACAATTGTATATCAGTCTATTTTGTGTGTATAACGCTTAGAGACTTCGGTGGTAAGCGCTTTATAAGTAACGTTTTTATTATTTATTATTATTAAAAAATAGAGATCGTCCGCAACGTTTTTTTCTTCGGCGCTCTGCAGGTTTTCTGCTTCTGATCCACGCGTATGCGCTCGCAATGCAAAAATGGATTCCATGTAATAAAATACCCCCAGTTCACCGTCTACTATTATGGGTCGTCCGTCTTCCAGAGGATATTTTATCGCTCGTAACGTGAAAGTCTCTGTACGAAGTCAATGTAAAATGCATCAAGAAAATCATTGCGAAACCAGTTTTTAGCATCGCCAATGCACGGATCAGAAATCAGAATCGTCAGCGAAAAAGGCAGATGATCCTTTTTTTAGCGGATGCATCTGTCCACGTTTACAAGACGATCCTCGTTTGTGCGGACGATCCTTATTCTCGGACCAGCTTCCCTACTGTTTAGAAGCAAAAACAATTCTGAAAAAAAAAGCAAAGAAAAATAAGAGTCCAAAATTGGATTTTGTCATCAATCAAGTGGTCTTAAATTTGAACCCCCTTAGGCCTATATTATTTGATATTCTACACATCATTCATCAAGATTAAGTAACGTAAACACGTCACACAGTATCTAAAAAAGTACAAACATCATAAATGCTATGCCGATACGACGCGTCCGCCAGCTCCGCCTGCTCTCGATGCCGCCTGGCTGGCTCTTCAGCGTTGCCGTTAGTTGAGGTGCTGCTGCCGCTAGCCGCTCGCGCTCCGCTTCCTGTCCAAAGTGGTGGCGATAATGTTACGTACCTGAATTGATCTTGAGACGTTCATTGCTGGTCTTCAAGGTGTTCAGCGACGTCGTATTTGAAGCCAGCAATTTTTCTATTTTACTCTTGCCCTCATCAGGTAGCGAATTCAACTCCTCAGCGCTCAATACAGCATTAAGTTCTTTGAATTTCTCGGAGTCACCCGCCATTTTGACTCTAGCATGAATGGTGCTGCACGTTTCGTGAACTTAGGGGGTTCGGAGTCTTAGGCCAATTTTCGTATTGCCAATTTGCAGTTTATATACGGCTTTGCTGCGCCCGTACCAAGACACAGGCGCTGAGAGAGAAAAGTCGGGGCAAAAACAGACAGAAAAGGGAAATTAAAAAAAAAGTTCTTGGGAATTATTGTTAGTCCCTAAGTTTTAATCTTTACAGTGTAGAGTCAATGGAATTTAATCATCATAGATATTTATCTCGATAAAAGAAAGGAAAGAAAGGAAAATAAAAGGAGAGAAAAGACCTATAATAGAATAGAATAAAGAAAATAAGGGGAAAGAAAAGGGAAAGCAAAACATATCAGTCGATTTTTATTCGACAAGCTTCCAACATACAACAATATACATTACATAAATATTATTATATTTTTAGATTGAACGAACCCCATAATTAATTTTTCATATTATAACTGATACTTCTGACTGCTAATGATCTTAGAACAAGTATATATGTTTGTATGTATATGTTTACATGTTAGGCCCTGCCTGAGTAATGTCAACGTCCTGGGCCACGATTTTCACGTCTTTATAATATGTCTATTCACTATGTGAAGGAAAGATTCCTTGTTATCTTATTTTGTATTGTTATATTGTTACATTGTATATGCTTTTCTATGGAAATAAATACTACTTTTTTTGATAACAGATCAAAAATAAGTCAGCTTGACTGACAGGATAACCGAAAGGCTCGAGAGCTTATTTCCAGCCTGGGGTCCCTTACATAAAATCAATAAGTTAAAATAGTAATATTTACAGACAGATAAGAAAATAAAAGAATTACTTATTTAAGATAATAATAATAATAACAACATTAAACTGATGATAGAAATGATAATAAGTACAAGAAGAAAAAGAAGTAGGAGAAGAAGAAAAAGAGAAGGAGGAATTAAAAAGAGGAAAATAATGATGAATTTGTAAAATTTCTATATAACCTCCGAAAACATAATATACAAAATGAAAAAGTATGAACCGGCAGACGAATACAAATTTCAATCATATACATGTCATTCACTGTCAAGTATTAGGTATCCCTTTAATTTCCTCTCAAAATGAGCACAGTTTTTTTATTTCTTTTACACCATTGGGAAGGGAATTTCAATGTTTTATGGCATTGTAATAAAACGAATTTCCAATACTACCTACTCTTTCTGGTAAGTTAAATTTGAATCGGCTATTTCTCGTATTATAATCATGTACGGGGTAAGAGGACACTTTTTTTTTTTTTTGGTCTCGAAATTTAAAAATTTGACATTTTGCTCCGTTAGGGGTGGGGGGTAAGGTCACCTTTCTTAGGTCAGCCATGGGGGTAATTTTTTTTTTTTTTTTTTTATAATTAAAAAAAAAAAAAAATCCAAAGGGGGGGGGGGGGTTAGGGATTTTTTAGGGGGGTTTACACACATAAAAATACCAAAGGGGGGGGTTTAACCCCCCAAACACCCCCCCCCCCCCCCCCCCCCCCCCCCCCCCCTGCGTACGCGCCTGGTTGTAGCCAACATTCTTGGACGAGAACAGTTGATAAATCTCACCATTTTGTTCTGCATAATCTAACTTCTTTTGATCTGACTTGTCAATGTTACTATACCATGCAGGATTAGCATAGTCAAATAAACATTGAATAAGAGCAAAACAGAGTGTACGTCTCGCTTTTAAATCCATACAACTTTGATATCTGTACAAAAATTTCAGACGAGAATTTGCTTTTTTTACAACTGATTCTACTAAAGATGAAAATGAAATTGCGCTAGCCAACTCAATGCCTAAATACTTCACAGAATCTTTTCTCTTGATTACTTGATTATTGTGTGTCACTTTGAATTCAAATGAATTTTTAGAACTACTTTTAGAACAATACAAAATGTTTTCTGTTTTTCTCAAGTGTATAAAAGAAAGCTTATTATCAGTCATCCAATCGACACACGTAGACAGCTGTTCACTGAGCTTTTCCTCAATATTATTTAGGATCAGGATTTGAATAGAGTAGTACGTACGCTGTCATCTGCGTATAATAATAGTTTTAAGGTCTTTTATACTCTCTTAAAAAAAGGAGTGAATTTTCACTCTATTTTCACTTTCTTGGGAGTGACGTCCGTGATCACTTGTTTAGGAGTGAAAATCGGTGGATTTTAGAGTGCTCTCTAAGAAGGAAAGAGTGAATGTTCACTCTATTTTCACTACATTTTCACTCTCCAGAGGAGTGACGTCCGTGATCACTCGATTTTTTTTAGAGAGTACAAATACACATATCATTTATATAACTTGAAAATAGAATTGGGCCTAAAATGCTCAGTGAGGAACACCGACATTTATTTGGAACGAATATCATGAATGGCCACTACTTGGTGTCGATTAGTCATTGGCCGGGGCACTGGATTGTGCGTTTTATGGGGGCTGAGGGGGGGGGGCCATGCAGCACCCTTGACGCCCCCACAAAAAATTGACCCCCGAATAGAGGGGGGGGGGTAGAAAATTAAAGGAAATTAAAAAAAGAGAGAAGAATAAGTTGGGGAAAAGAAGAAAGTCTCGAAAGCATTCTTTCCACACCAGATTTTATTCAATCAGGCGTAAATGCCGCTGAAGGTTTCTTTTAGAGCCTATTATATTTTATGTTTTGAGGTTCAACTATGTGTATATCACTATTAAGAATGTATCCCCTCTAGCAGCGAAAATAGTTTTCATGATATTACAAGAGTAAGTCTTTGAAGACATCTAAAGAGCCAAATTATCATGGCTTCTCGGCCCTGGCCTGTTTCTTTACAATTTCTTTCATACTGATAGGATAGAAACTCCACTGTAACTGCATGGAGTTCCAAATCATTATTTTTTTTTTTGAGGGGGGGGGGGGGTCCAAAGGTTAGTAATTCTGAAAGTTAATTCCAAAATTTGAATATAACTTTATTGTTCGTTTTTGTACTTCATTGTACGATTTTTAATTCCTAAAATAAAAATTTGGTTACTAATTCCAAAAGCTGAAAGGGTTTAAAACTTCGAATTCCTAAATGGCAATAGAACCATCGGGTCTTAGGCCTGTATCATTTTTTTAAAATTAACATGCAGCTTTAGGGATTCTGGAATACTGCGGCCCTCATTTTAGTTCCACCCACCTTCTCCTTCGGAATCATAAACTCACTATCATATTTCAGAATTATGGACTGTATTTAATTTTTCCAAATTACAATCCCGTTGGAACAACGAACCTTTGAGTTTGGAATAATGCATCAAAATGTATTTCGGAATTATTATACATTGACAAAAAAGAAGCACATGTAAAACGAGTACGCTCCCCCCCTCGTTTTATACCCCCCCCCCCCCCCCCAAAAAAAAAAAAAAAAAAAAAAAAATAAAATAAATAAATAAAATAAAATAAATAAAATAAATAAATCCCTCATCAAACTATTGAATCAATCAGATCATCGTTTTTTGACCGTACTTTAGATTGGCAATGGTAACAACTCCCTGGTCGACTGTCCGTAAAATAAAGAGCTATCTTCACCCGTATTTAAGCTACGCTGCGCTGGTAAACCAAAAAATGGCAGAACAACGCAACGAAATTCGTTCACTTGCTTGTTTTTTCAATGCAGGAAACGTCAAAGTGAATATCAACAGTGAAACGAAGGTAATTTTTTTGTCAGGTTGATAACTGAAATGTCTTTTCATGAAGTAGAAATATGTGTATGTTGATTCTCACAGAATGTGTGTAGCATACGGTGGTGTCCTTTTCTGCTGCAAGTATTTTCCTTATCGGAACTGTCGTGGATGTTTACCCCGAACTAGCCCGTCTCGCAATCGCGCGGCCCGCTGTTGCTTGCATTGCGTGGCTGAGCTTAGATGACTTGGCACTTAATAGTTCCAGCACTGCAGCATGGCGATTGCCGTTTCCTAGGCCGAGGCGACGCGGTGTTCTTCTTCTTCTGGTATATTCCTCAACGCAACGAAAAAAATACACGGTGGCGACGGGCGATTCGCCCCCTAAACCTCTGAAATCGCCACGGTAAAAATCAAGACGAGGGCGAAAAAAAATCAATATATCTTGAAAAATCGCCCCCGCCATAAATTGATATTCCCTATGAATTAATAAACCAATTTATTGATGTGTCTGAGTGAAATCTCCGTTCCAACTACCAACTCCAAAACTAGAAACTTCCATCAACATTTTAAAAGTTTTGTGAGTTGCAGCGGATCGGCGGTCGTACCTACTGTAGCTAGATCTACAGCGGTATCCGCCTGCCTGCGCCTAAGCTCCCGGCGGCCGGACAGGCCACCGGCCCCGATGTAGTTTCGTGCACAGCATGAATGCATACGCAGTTCGCACACGTCGTTCACAATACACAGAAACGTACTAGCTCAGCTCCAGCGCGCGCCCGCACGCTCCTCGTATGAAGCAAATAAGTATTTGCGAGTGACGAGAGCTCAACTGCTAGCGACCAAATTGGTACGTAATATGTTTATTTAGTCTTTTTTCTGGCCCTAATTTTTATCATGGACAATGCAATCCCATTAAAAAAAATGTTATTCCGTCTAAAATTGTGTTATTTATAAGTTAAAACCATCAAATGCGAGTATATTTTTACTGTTGTCCCACATACTGATATATTTGTAATAACGAAACGTGCAAAATCAATGCCGGATTTTTTCCTGTAAAATCGGTATAAAGCAAGTTTCGTACACAGAAATTGAATTTTGTTATAAAAAAACCGTAAATAAATATATAAAGGATGTTCCTACTCCTCAGAATCTTTCTTACAACTGTTTAATTAAATTAAATTATTTATATACGATCGATGCCAGGCCAATTGTCATGAGTGATGATGACATCAATTTCTGTCTACGAAATGAAACTAGCTTTGGCTTGGCCTTTAGAATTAGAGTCTATAAAAAAAAAATAAGGCCATGATTTTGCATGTTTCGGCATAACAAATAGACCCTACATCGGTATGTGGGACAACAGTAAAAATATTTACTCACATTTAATGGTTATAAATGGTCTAAATAACACAATTTTAAAGGGAGTTGGTCTACATTTTTTTTTAATGGGATTGCATTGTCCATGATAACAATTAAATTTGGGACAGAAAAAAAGACTAAATAACATATTACCTACCAATTTGGTTGCTAGTAGTATGATGGCTAAGGAAAAACACAACTTATTGTTACAGCTTACAATATGGTCTTAAGGAAGTAGCCCCTTGGTTCTTTTTAGGCAATGCAATGGGGAAAAGTAGCCCCCATAAAAAAATTAATTCCTAGCCCGCGTGTCAGTGATAATATTTTCTTAGGATATGAAAAACGAACAGTTAAACAAAACACTCCTTTTGACAAGTTTTAGTTACATGTATATGTAAATCATAAAGCCACACGTTTAACACAAAGTGAATAAATCATGGGTATCTGAATGTCTGCAATACTCTACATGACATATTATGTACGCTACAATTGTATCTATATTTGCCTTTGCTTGGAATTTAATTAGGTAAAACCGCGTTTAAAAAAAATACAACCTTTAAAAAAAAAAAGCCCTCCTGAGCTCCAAAATAGCCACCGCAAAATAATTAAGGGGGGCTATTTTTTTAAGGGAAAATCTGAAAAGAGCCCTCGTAAAAAAAAAAGTAATTTTTTGGTTGCCTCAACGTTCCATAAGGAACCAAGCGAGGAGGATGAGGGGGTGCGCACTGTGCTTGTTCAGTTCTTATTGCTTGAGTCTTGGTTGCGGAAAAAGTTGGTTGCTTGGAGTTTGAAGGTGCCAATGTTCGTGGTGATGATGTTGGGTTGCAGTTGATGATGGATGGAAAGTTGGGAAACGTACACACATCGAGTTGACAGATTGGTCGATTGACTTACTGATTGATTGATGGATTGATTAGTTGATGCATATGATTGATTTATTAATATTACCTGAATAATTGATTGATTTGATTGATTCGTTCAGGGATATGTAACTCACATATCCCTGATTAGTTGTTGTATAGACTCTACATGTACATGTAGGGTCTACACTATGGCATTGAAGATCGTTGATGAATGATTGACAGATTGATTTTAAGTACAGGGATTCCAAATATAGATTTAGACAACGTTTGAAATGATGATTTAATATGGCAATAATGCATTTCTGTTAATTCCATAATGTAATGAGTTGGGCATGAGTTGATTGAAATATTGAATAATAACACATAGGCCTACATGTAGACTATTTTGTTTTCTTTTTGTTTCGCTTTTTAATCTCTAAATACAGATCAGATAGACTTGCCAGAGCCTCTCTCAGAGAAAATGTCCAAAATGGCACCAAAAAGCCAAAAAAAAAGGAAATCTAAGGTTGAACTTCGCGTTGGAGCCTTTTTTCCTTTTCTCCCTTGATTTTCAACTGATGTGATTAGATTTGAATTGAGGTTAACAGTTTTGGGGAAAAAAGCATAACAACAGAATAATGTTCAGCACATATTTTTTGAGAACTTCTGTTTCTTTCATTTCTCTTTCTTATAACTTCACTTATTAAGGATATTTATTTTGTTTTTGTCTCTTGAAGTTACCTTGTATGCAGTGCAATGGAACATCTGTATCTGGATTGATGTCAATATGCACCTACCTGGCAACCACGGCAGGGAAGGCAGAGCTTGTTGGCAAGGACGCTAAGTCGAGGGCCCTCGTTGGCCAGTGGCTGGAGTATAGGGTTACAGAGGTGGACAGGTGCCATGGTGAAAAAGATGATATTAATGTTTTTAAGGTGTGTATATAAATAATTGATCTTCTGAAAGGTAGCACAGACATGTAACATCTTGAAGTTTACCATGTCTCTTAGGCTCTAAATGAAAGAGACATCCTAATGAGTTTAAAGAAAATGTGTCTATGTTTAGTAAATGAAAAACAAAGTTTATTTTGTTTAATCAAAATTTAATTTATTTTAATTTGTAAATCATTGGTATGATGATCCATTGTATCTAGAGGAGTTGTTAGAAAGGAATATCATACAATTTCTGCTATAATCATTTCCATCACCCTTTGGACCAATTTAAAAAACTGTGATCTTTAATATTTTTTAGTACCACGAAAGTCAAGTCTGATTTTAACTTGAATTCATTTGATGAGATATTGTACAAAATTAGAACGTAATAGGCTACAAAAAAGCAGGATGTATTTCCAAGGGAATCATAAGTTAAATTTACGTGTATAGTCAAACCTGCTTTAGCAACCACCTGTATAAAAAGACAACCTGTCTACAATGATCACATTCCCCCCCCCCCCCCCCCTTGAAAGTGATTTTTCACATTGAAACATATACTGAAGGCACCTGTACAGAAAGACCACCTCCTTATAAAGACCACTTTTTGTTTCCCTTGAGTGGTCTTTATAGGTTTCTCTGTATATTTTAGAATAACTTTACATCGGAAATGGAAATGAAAGAACCTCTGTGAAAGAAATGTGGAAGGAAAATGGGGTAAACCATATGTGGAAGACTGGAACAGTTTATCAGAAGATGCTGTCTCATATTCTTCGTCATAGTTGATTATTGATAAACAAATCCTATATTCTGCTTATTCCCCAGGAGCTGAATTCTTATCTTTCCACAAGGACCTATTTTGTTGGTCAACAATTTAGTCTAGCTGATTTACTTCTCTACTATGGTCTTCATACTAAAGTTGTAAGTACATGTTCTATGTATAAACCCTTTTGTGACAGTTACTCAAGATTTAGTGGTTTGGGGCTCAATACCTTTTGAATCCGAGCCCTCAAAGAAATATACCAGATGCACAAGTAGAAAGGGCAACAATTTCTGCACACATTAAATTCATTTTGTTTCATGACTATACAGTGTAGGCTACATTGCATTTGATGCTAGGAACTTAAAAAGGAGAGTCAGTTTTAAAACCCTATCCAATTGTGTCCATAAGCTTTCATGGGTAATGTTTCTTGAATTTGATTTGCATTTACAATTTTAGAGAAATGTACCTCTAATTTAAATAGCATTGATCTCAGAATGTCACTCATGATTATTATATTGTTGTTGGCTACAAAGTTCAAACAGTTATGAATGCTTATGTATGCCTATCAGTCATTAGTGTTGCTTAAATAGCTATGTCTCTTTGTGATTTTCTTTTAGAATGGGCTCACCTATGAAGAGAAGGAAAAATACCTGCACTTATCAAGATGGTTTGATCATGTAAGTAACCCTTCTTATTTTGTTCCCTCATTTGAAGTTTAGAAGTCTGTTTCATATATTTACCTAGATTTGTAACTGTATTTGAAACTTCGGTCCGAAAGCGCATTTATTGTTTGATTCACGATGAAGAAAAAGAAAGAGAAGGGTCTGTATTCTTCTTTTAAAAATAATTGTGTCAACAAATGCTCTTTTTGTTAAATTCATTGTTGTACTCATATTATAGGTTTCATAAAGTGCTCTGATATACATGTATGCTCCTGCAGGGTTACAGTTTGGTAATAATAATAATAATAATAATAATAATAATAACAGTAATTCAGTTCACTTTTTGCCTCCCTGGCACAGGTGATGCCAAATACATGATAATGATAATAATAAATATCTTTTGTTTTATTTGTTCTATCTTTACAGGTTCAGAGACTTCAAAACACCAGGCAACACTTGACAGAGGTTACCTTCTCACTGAACAGATTATATGCTGGATATATACCTCACTGATACCACCCATTATAGCATATTATTAGGTAACTTAGCAATATGTAATGGCACAAAAAGATGCTTCCAGAATGCAAAATTCATTATACTTGGTGATCTTTCGTAATTCAAAATTCTCTTTTGACATATCTTACTGATAGTTTCGCTAAGACTACGCGTCATTGAGATGGTATACAGTGGACCTCAGTATAAAGAGTTCTGATATAACAAGGTATCTGTTATAACAAGGTGATTTTGATGGTCCCAGCTCTTTATATTCTTTTTTTTTTTACCCTGATATAACAGGATTCCTGATATAACAAGGTAATTTCATTGGTCTAAAGGACCTGGTTATAATGAGTTTCCACTGTATGCACCGTCCAGCTCAATATCCTAATGAAGTTTTTCTACCTCTGTGTGCTAAAATTATGATTGTCAATCATTATGTACTTTGCATTCCGGACGCTTCAGTTCGTGCCACTACATTTCGCTATTAAAGCTACCTTAAAGAGATAGTTGCAACATGCTTATGTACAAACTCTATGGGAGAGTACTGTTTTAGTGTGGAGCTCCATGGAAATGACTAACCAATCAGAATCCACTTCACATGACGCAACTATCTCTCTCAGCCGCTATGATAGAATGCTGTATGACTAATTTATTGGTAATTCTATAAATCACTCAGCATCATTTACGTTTAGTTTAATCTATGTGTGATTATATGAAACGCTGCCTCGGATGGAGGAAAGGCTTTTTTTAACCCATTTTAGTATCATTTGATTTTTTATATAATAATTTGTTTTCATAGAATCCAGCTTAAGTTAACTTGGGCATAGTATTCAGTGGTTTAATAGCCCTTACTACATGATTGACATTCTCAATATTTGCCTTACGTCAAGTTACTTGGCAGAGATTTATCCTATGTATCTCGTATAAACTTTATAGTAGAAGGTAAACTGATACTCAACAATATGGTATTTCTATCATTTTTTGGGGGGTTATTATGTACTTACATTTATATAAATCAGTTTATTTTTCAACAAATGAAGGAAGTTATTATTTTCTATCTTTGATATAACACTAAATTGCAGGTGGTAGCTAAAGCAGGTCCGACTGTATTACTGAATAAAGATGAAATAATTTCCCTGTAGGAACGGACACCATCATCAAACATGATTCTAAAAAACAAATTAATGTAGCTAAACTGTCATGGAAGATATAGAGACGTGACTTTCTCTGTACGTGTCTTATCAAGACTGCTGTGCCTCAGTAAGCATAACCTTATGGGGGAAAAAATCACCCTGGAGGGTGTTTCATAAAGCTGTGTGTAAAGTTACGCATGACTTGAATATGAAGAGCTAATGGGATTCTCAAATCCTTTTAATTGCATAAGCTAAATTGAAATATGCAGATGTAGATTAACCTTTAATAAACAAAACGCTTTAATGCAAAGTGTATTTTGGGCTACAGTTTAATTGAGAACTTTGGACATCCCATTTGGTTCTTCATATTCAAATCATTTGTAAAGTCATTCGTAACTTTATCCAGAGCTTTATGAAACGCCCCCCCTAGTGTCTTTATGGTCTTATTACTGTGAAAATTGTAGCACATAAACAAATACACAGGCATTTGTGTGGAATGTTGTTTGCTATGTCAAGTCCATTGTCAATTGAATAGAATTATGATAGATTTTCTGCATGGTTATACCTATTATTACGCCGTTGCCCATAAAGTTGGAATTATTGTTTTTCTTTCTTCTTTTCATGAAGGGATTGTGACAATATGATTCATTCTTGATTGGAGAAGTTAGTTCTTCTCAGAAATCCAGTGATCAATTTATACGACTCTTTGGAATAAAGGCATCGTTTAACCCTTACTGTACTGGGCTATTTTGAGCACCCACTGACTGGGGGGGGGGGGGGGGGGGGGGGGGCCTGGGAGGCCCCCCCCCCCCCTATGATCTCGGCCGTTGATTGTCCGATGAACACGAAAATTTGCATGTTTGTAGATATTTATGTAAGGAACAAGATGGTATAATTATTTTTTTCCGAATATGCAAATTTTTGTCGTTAGCCTAATTAATTATGCAAAATGCGCTAATTTTATGCATTTTACAGAAAACGTGTCAAACTCCACTTTTTTAATGTTGAACTCATTATTCATATGAAACTTCTTTTCTAACACAAAAAAGTTATTTTAATGTAATTAATAATGATAATTTATGCAAATTTTGATGCAATTTTTTTTTTTTTTTTTTTTTTTTCATGACATGCGCATACTAATTGTTAAGTAACGCCTTACAGGTATATCCAATTTCGATGAAAATGGTATCAAAATGTGCGTAAGACTTGAGGGAAAAAAGTCATGAAACGACAATTCAAAATTCCAAGCGGTTGCGGTGCAATCTCCGAAAATGTCGAGGGGGGGGGGGCCTCCCAGGCCCCCCCCCCCCCCCCCCAGTACAGTAAGGGTTAACAATGTTAAACCTGAGATGCATGGCCCTACGTGTTATCAGTGTCTGTGATATGGTGTAAAATTGAAGCCCTAAACAAATTGTGCTTCAAAATGATCACAAAGTGCCTCAAAAAAGTAAAAATCTTTGAGTGACCAGTTTTACCATACTCATTTTCCCCAGACTGTAGTGTTATAAAAACTGTTAGGAAAACAGTTTTTGAAATGTCGATTTCCAATCATAAATATCTTGATAATCAGACAGGCGATCGGCTTATAAAATTCATGGGGTTCCTGACCTAAAGGTTTATGATTGCAGCATGAGCTAAATCCAGGATTTTGCTTCAGAATCTGAGACAAAGTTACTGATCCCTTTAATCAATAAAGTTCTGAAAAGATGTAAAATTATATTTATTCGAGCGTAAACCATGTTGTCACAATCGCTTCATGAATAGAGGTAGAGGTAAGACAGATTATTCCAACTTCATGGACGACTGTGTACATTGTATATTTTTCTATTGTTAGAGAATGAAAGGAACATTCCTTGAATACCAATGTCATATTTTTCACTAAAGTTTCCTTCCTGATTGGTTTGATAAATGTGATTAATGGGATCTATTGCTTGCCATCTCCAATTTTTGTTGTTGATAAGTCCCAAGTCCATATTGTATTCATAAGCTGATTTTGTCACTTATGAAATGGCACATTCCAATTTAATATTGATCTCATTTTCCTGGAATTTTAGGGAATTGTAATCATTGCCTTATATGCAGCTCACTAAATCTATTTCTCATTTTAATTCTTAACCTTTTAAGCCCCATTGGTACAAAATGCATTAGCTGTCAAGAGCCAGAAAGGCATTAACTCTGTGTTAAAATATATGAGTTAAAGCCCTTCTGGCCCCAAACAGACAAAATGTAGCACGATTATATTGTCTGATTTCCCATTTTATTATGTGCTTTCTTATTGGTCAAATTTTACTTTGCAGATATGTACTTAAGAGATAGGAGACTGCAAACTTGTGATTGATTGGAGGACTTGCGATTGATTTTGACCATTCACAACTTGTTAAAAGACCAGCCCGATTTCTTGTTATATAATGGTAACAGTAAACAACCAACCAATCAAACAAACAAATACATGTATAAAGATCTACATGTAGGACCAGCTGAACTACTTTATGAGGTATCTCATTATATCTCTTTATAATGAGTTTAAACTAGTTATTAATTGTTATTTTATCATTTTCACCTACATTGTGTACATATATACATGTATGTGTACAGAAATTATATGATTAACAATATAAAGATATTTGGAACATACATTTTGATTGTATAATTTGGAGGTTATCTGTCATTTGTTTTGGAGAGAGAACAAGATTGGAAGACGATTAGATGGAATGGGAAGAATATAAAAGGTGTAAAGAGAAGGGGGGATAGAGATTACTATTTTAAAGAAATATCCTTTCTCAAATAGAGAGATAGTGAGCATGTGAGAGAGAGACTGAGACAGAAAGAGACAGAGACACATAAAAGTGTAAGAGATGGGTTTGAAACTAAGTTTACAGGGATTGTGTGTGTGCGTGTCTGAATATGGGAAAAGGAGGACTCGGGGAGAGATTGAAGGTACATCGAGAAATTTAAGAAAGGAGGAAGAGAGAGAGGGAGACACCAAGAACCGATGAAAAAGTAAACAGAGAGAGAAAAAAAAAGTGGGGGTGGCTTTATTAATGTGTTTTTTAAATTATTAATCGACGGTTTCGACTCCCTTTTCACCACCATATCATCCAAACTTCTTTCACAAGCAAGCGCATTCTAAAACAAATCAAGAAACATTTGACTGCAAAAATATTATAAAAAGCGGTTTTTATTCAAATATATACCAATCATGCAGCACTATATATAAATTCATGTAATAAACCCCCATGACAATCCATCATATGATATGAAATTACATAGTGCATTAAAGAACATTTTTTTACAAGTACATGTACATTACATTTAGATGTATTGTGCAAGTATATTTCAATAGCGTTACATGAAACAAGACAAGATATAACTATTTTCATACAATCAGAACTAAAATTAGATTTGCATAAACCTATGCACTCCCATAGCTCTTACCAATTAAATTATCTAGGCTTACAATTGTGGAAAGGACATTATGGTCAAACAAAATTCTAGGAATATAATTATGACAAAAGTAATAATCGATTGAATGAGTCACCCTATACTCAGACAATAGCTGTGGCGTCGCATAGGCAACACTCCGCTCATGAGAGATGTCGTTCATAAACTCCTCAAGAGTTTTGCAATTAAAGTTTGAGCGTTGATATATACATCTTGTTTCTATATCATCATAATTATTTGACGTTGATATTACTGAAAAGCCTGTTTATTCCACTTCTAATATACTGAATATTGGACCAAGTCAGATGTGAAAGACAAAATGAGCATATTAATCGAAAACTTGTAACCATTTTAGGACCTTATAAAACGAAAGACTATAAATTCATATACTTTTTTCACAGAGTTACGTCCTTCAAGCTCCAAACAGACGATATCCACTGTAATAGTAGACTGAATATTGGACCAAATCAAATGTGAAAGGCGGCAAAATGCATAGTTATTTCTTCGAAACAAAATAAATCAAAACAGAGAAAGACTTCAGTATTGACAATTATAACAACAGTTTGCAACATTTAAATTTTGACTTGGCCCCTTGAGATGTTTATGTACACACACGTGTGTATAAATACAGTGTCGTCCCTGATGGGCCACTATTATAAGCAATGCCCATGAGATACAATACTGGTATCATTTCCCTGACGCAAGTCTGCGTCAACAACTATCACTCATTCTGACGCACCATGCAACTGTAACAACCGTACAAAAAGCGCAAACAATGCGTCACATAATCAGCGCATGCGTTAACTGCCTTCACAAATTTGATTACCGATGACAGAAAGTAATAATGCAATCGAAATGACACCTTGTTTGCAACAGGCATGACAACGGAAAGCACATTTCTCCCTACATATCATTATTAACCCTCCCCCCCCCCCAAGAACAAACAAACAAACAAAACAAAACAAAAAGCAAACAACAACAAATTAGCATGCGCATAGACCTATTACGATTTTCGAATACTTCCATTAAAATCATATTAACAAACTGTGGTCAACATATGATTTTGATTACTTCCATTGCAGTGATTACAATAATTTGTTGGAACCGTGGTTACGGTATTTTATCATTGTCAGAAAACAAAAGTGACACATTCAGTGTCATTGTGCCTTTTAACAACAACAAAAATACTAATAGCAATATGAATAACAATAACATTAATAACAATAATAATATATAAGATTTGTAAGCTAGGCGCCAAACGCTTAAATCAATGCCAAAGTGGAAAAGGTATACACAATATACGATTCTCTCAGAACATGTTTATAGATTCTGAACAACTGCAACAAATGTGATCAACTGCTACAAGTATGAAATCCTTCAAATACGTAATAATACCGTCATTTTACAGTGGAAGACATTTTGAAAGACTGTTTAAACGCCGATGAGTTCAGTGACGTTATCTTTCATTGTTTACTTTAACAGTAATCAATTTGGCATTAATTTGTGTAATGAATAATGATGAAATGAGATGACTTAAAAAATATTAAAAAATCCAATACTTATTTTCATTTTAAAATTCTTATATCTTGGCCAAGATCTGCGAATTTATGTGTAAATATGTATCGAAACCCTTGGTTTTACTCGTCATGGAAAGACAGTGTTTCTTTGGATATCAATAACGGAAATAACGTCATGAACTTCTCCCAAAATTAGGACTTTTGATATGATAGCCGATGACGACTTTTCTTATAGCCCCGAATGTGCGGCATGGTACCCCGATCACACCCGACCGTAAAAGACTCCAAATCAACTAACACATCATCGTCAACATGGTCAAAATCTTTGCAATCTAGGCCCGCATTAATTTTATGTAATGTTGTTATTGTCTATTGATGGGATTGCGCCGGTCTCATAGGTATGACTTTGGCATAAGGTCCCCCCCCCCCAAAAAAAAAAAAAAATAAATAAATAAATTAAAAAAAAAAAAAAAAAAAAAAAAATAATAATAAATAATAAATAAATAAATAAATAAATAAAAAAAAATAAAAAAATAATAATAATAAAAAAATAAATAGGATAATAATAATGATTACAAAAATAATAATTATAATTATAATAAAATATAATAATTAAAAAATAACCTTCCAGTTAATTTCCAATGCTATATTTACGTTGCATTCTGATTCAGTAAACATTAAATTATACCAATTAACAATGATCAGATAGATCGAGCAATCGGTGATTAAATGTTTACCTTTTTTCTATACACCCATCCTGCCTGCAAGATGAAAACTCTTTAGATCCCGAATCTTTACACAAAATGATTATAAAAACTTCCAACATCGATGGAAATATATACACCTATACATAATCAATATAAATGAAATCATCCGTTTCGAAAATCTTTCAAAGGAATCTTCAATCGATTTACATTATAAAGGTTTCTGTTGAAATGTATAGAAATGGTAATCTGGTGTGAATTTAAGAATACTTGAAATGTTCGCACGTACTAATTGCATATACCACATCTAATAGTAACTCCGATTTACATTGCAAGGTAAATTGTACAACTTAAGAAATGAGATCACAAATAAAAATTAAGAAAATGGTAAGCCTTATGACAAAACTGAATTAAAAATATTACCTTGCTATATATGGAATAGAAAGACAAAATGAGCATATTTATCGTAAATGTGCATTCAACTTTAGTACCTTATAAAATGAAAGACTTTAAATTCATATACTTTTTACACAGAGTTAACGCCCTTCTGGCTCCAAACACTCAGACGATATCTTCAAACATTACTTGTGGAAGAAAACCGTAAGACCTTGCATATGTTATGTTATATTATGTGCCCATGCATTCTAAATTTAATTATGTAACATTCTTACTTCGGCGTTTGCTTGGCTTGCCCGTAACACATGGCTACAGTTATTCCGGCATACCAATCTACTCATCGCTTTAAATAAATGCAATACCTTCGAAAACTGAATAAAAGTTTTCCCAAGTTTGGTTCGACATGGCGACAAACACATGGATACCAAATTAAACCTAGAAATCGATCACTAAATTCTTATCAGTAGCTATAATCACATGCAGACAAAAATGAGATGAATATATATATATTCTACTTAAAAGACCACTTTCATAATGTTATCAAATTTAATGCATAATCATTTTATGCACGTATTATGAATAATTTTATTTCAATATTCAGAATATGATTTACATACATAAATTGTGGCTTATTAGGACAAACACTATAACTTGTCCTACCTAACGACACGTCATATATGCAATTCGCATTCTGACTATTGAAATTAGATCATTCGTAACAGGTGAATGAAATAATTTGTAACGAGGCGCTTAAGAACGATTTGTGCGTTAAATTTGTTTACATTATGAAAATGGCCTATTCAGGTATGCTAAATTATATCTCTTTACCTAAGTCTGTAATTTTACAGCCATATACAATGATATATAAGGTGATGCATGCTGAAACCCCAGTATACTCTTGAACTGTTGGTTATAACTTTGCCTGATATTGTGTTCGCTGATAAAATATAATGCATTATGACGTCGTTTTACATAACTCATATATTTGCACACGTTATGGATACGAATACTTTTCTTTATGTATTGTCGTCCATATTGAAACTAATGCGATGAATATGGGTTGATATTTAAACGTGAGACATCAAAGACGTTTTAGAATGACATATAGTTTTCTCATACAAGAAAGGAAGAATAAACATTTATTTTTTTCAACAAACCCTGTTTTTTTGGTACATTCATGCCCTTGAGTAGGTATGCGTTAGAGGGAGGCGTCATATTTGCATAACGAGCACCACTTTAATACGGTGGCGGAAAATACAAAAAAGGGAGGGGCAGGCTAGTTTGCAGTAACAAACTCTTTTCAGTCGCTGTGCGTAACAGTTTCTGCACAGTGAGGCTAAGTTGACATACTGTATAGCTAGGCTCTGTGATTTATTACAGATGGTTGATCATGCGTGAATTGAATAATGCAAAAATTGAATAATGCTTGATCCGACATTTGTATATACTTTCTACCAGTTTTCTCATAGTGCTATCAGGATTTACACACACAAAATCACAAGTTTCTGTAATGGAAGAATAACATCTAAAAGACTGAATTGAGTATAAGTTATTTTAAACAGGAAAAAAAAGTTGTTCGCTTTTGTTCTTCTCGTATATATATATATATATATATCCAAGTTTGCTCCCCCTCCCCAGTTAGGGTAATTGAACGCTGGGTCCTTCTGCTCCCTCGCGTCTATTCATTTTGTGTTGTCAAATTCAGATTCTAGTTTTGTGTGAAGTGCCTCATCAAAATCATTTTCATGATTTTCCATAAGTTCTATGTAAACAATATCTTAATTTGAATACTTCAACTCATAATGATCGACATCAGTTGGTTAAAGAAAGCACCTTTTCGTGTATTAGTGTTCATGTTCTGGGCGCCATTTCCTCCCTACGTCACGCTACTAAGATAATTCCCGCCGAGGACAAATTAAAAAACGAAATGAGTAGAGTCCCCCGAATGTAGCTCTCTCCGCTACCATGTTTACAAAACGTTAAAATATACAAAATACAGCATTCGAATGAGATTATACGCAAACTACCTATCAAAATGAAATATGTTCGCAATACATGTATCAAATTATGAATATAAATGCTTTTCAGTAGAAATATATAACGTTCTTTGATACAAAACAAGTATAATGATTACTAAAAGAAATTATGCATAGAATTCGCTTCGATAATTTTCCAGGTAACTATCCCATACATCATGTACACTGACAGTCATCAAGCAAAGTTCAGTTTATTCCGCAATACATTAGAAAACAAAGAGCTGTAACGACAAGTTCGATTGTATCCGTATTTCAAAACTGCTTGCTTACACCAGAAAAAAAGCCTACCGGTATTAACAATGACATTGACTGTCTGCGTCTATTATAAGACATTATATTGATCGTCATGTTTCCGGTTCCATGTTCTTTCCATAAGATCTAACATGTTCATCAGCCTACTTTTTAACCTTAGCGTATATCTGCCCAAAGGGGTCATCATCCTCGGCGACTTCTTTGGGCGTTTCCTCGGCGCGTTTGACTACAGCGTAGTCGCCATCGTCGTCCATTTCGTCGAACTCGCCTGTCTTGACTTCCGAGTACGGCGAGTCGCCCGCCAGAGCCTCCTCGTGCGCACTGAAACTGCTGGAGGACCCGACCACCGAGTAATCGTCGCTTTCGATCGTCGCCGCGACCGTAGATCTTACGCCGCCGTTTGAGTTGTTGTTGTTGCCTCCCTTCACGCTCTTTGTCTTCTTCGACATGTCGACGGACGCGTAGAGATCGCCGTAGTCCTCCGCCTTGTCAACGTCGTCCTCCGTCGATCTTGGGCTCATCGAATCCGGCATGGGCAGGGACATGTCCATCGAGTTGGCGATCAGCGTCGGAGGTGCCATGGCGTTCATGGTCGACCCGATGCCCTTGAAGTTTTGCATGTTCACGTTCGCCGCGCCGAACTCGACGTCGCCGATGTTGGGGTTGAGTTGGACGCCGCTGGGCGTGTTCATGGGCATGTTGTCGGTGCGGCTGGACCTCGAGGTGCCCGATGACTTTCGGCTGCGTTGAAGGACGGCGAACTCATCGTCCTGGGTGACGGTCCCATGAGCGGATGGAGGACTCCACAGGAGACCTTCAAAGGAAATAATAATACAATAATAATACAAAGAAAGTAATAATTCGTTAGCCATCTCCAGGGTTTAAATCAACTATAATTGCAGCTATGTTATGTTATGTTATTCTATGATATTTTAGTGACTTTAATGAGGTCTTTGATCAGGACATTTCTTGTTATCAACCTCTATGTCCACTATGATCATCATCACCTTCGTTGTTGTCGTTGTCTTATAACATTATTACCATTACTGCCACATTCATGATCGACACCACAACCCAAACCACCATCGTAATCATCACCACCATCATTATCATCACCAACCACCATCATCATTATCTCCCAACAGCTTCTCCTGTACACACCGCATCAACCACGATCATCACCGTCACAACCATCACAATAACTACGACCGCCACCACCAATACCACCACTCCAACCTCCACCACCCCTATACCAGACACACACCTTTTTGAGCTCTTCATTTTCCTTTGGATTTTGCTCTTTTAAGGAAGTTTACTTATTCATCTTTTCACCAGATGACTGATCTAACATCATAGAATCTACTGGACAAATTTCAGAACGCCGAATCTATTTTATTTGTTTCATCAATTTGTTTGTAAGTAGGGAATATGTAATTAGTTATGATCTAACCGACTGTGTATTATGTGTACTTGTCCATATTATCTAAGTTTGTTGAAATGATTTTTAATACATATAAAACTTGCAATGTAATTTAGCTTTCGAGCTACCATTTTGAAGTTGTCTAATAAAAAACCATTCTACCTACCCATCATAATTATCGTCATAACCATAGTAACTATAAATCATCAGTATCATTATCATCTTTATCATCATCATCATTCACCATCACTGCTATCATCATTGGTACCATCATCATCGTCAGCATCATCATCAATCACCATCGTGATTGTAAATAGGTTCATCTATCGTCATCGTTATCATCAGCATCATTCACCATTACTGCTATCATCATCGGTACCATCATCACCATCATCGTTCACCATTATGGTTGTAATTAGTTTCACCTATTGACACCATGCACCATCATTATCATTCAATATCACTGCTATTATCATCGGTACCATCACATATCATAAAGTCATCCTCATCATCCTCCTCATCCTCCTCCTCTTCCTCCCCCTCCTCCTCCTCCTCATCATCATCATCACATATTAATATCATCATCATCATTACATATTATTATCATCATCCTCATCATCATCATCATCATCATCATCATCATCATCATCATCATCATCATCATCACATATTATTATCATTATCCTCATCACCATCTCCTATCAACTCCTATACCAAACACGCCACGAACTCCTATACCAGACACAGCACCTACCATTGGTGTGTCCATTGGTACCATTCCTCGATGTCATGCTCCCGTTGCTCCGCATCGGTTGACCCATGTTATCCATCTCGATGTCGGTCATACCGTGGTTGACGAGGCCATTCCTGGTCGTCGAACGTCGAGGCTCATAGTTGGCGTATTTATTGGAGCTGGCCCTCTTCTTGCGGATTCGCCTCGAGTCCCTCTCAGACCTGTAGATTTTTTTTGGAAAAAGATCAAAGAGAGAAAGAGAGAGAAAGAGAGAGAAAGAGAGATATTCGATTATGATTTCTACACCTCTGTTAGGGTAATCCAACTATGGACCTACTACGAATATTAGGTCCGTCCGTGATCCAACCGTTGCTCCGGCGACAGGGTCTATTTCGTTAAAGTTGATGTTCATTGATTTTAAAAACTAACTTAATTTCATTATTGCAAAGTTGAAACTGTGATTCGACAAGGTTATCAAACTTCAATGCTTGGAAACATTCGAGGTGATTATTATTATAAATTATAAAACGCTTAAATACAGCCCCGGCATAGCACCTGAAGAGCTCTCCGAACGCTCCTGAGATGTGTGAGATCACTGTATGGACACGATTTGCACAAGCAGACGATGTCCCATGACATCACACACATTTTCAGTGCCTGTGTTTACATCTTCTCTTGAGTTCTTTCTCTTACTTCACTACCGTCAGGCTAAAATTATAATCTATTGCCTCACTCTAAACCCCGCACACGGTTTTATTTTGATGACAAATGCACCGATACAAAAATAAAGGAATTTGTCGCTTGTAAACAAAATAAGGCGGTATTGAATATTCAGCTGCACACAGCGCGGTATGTTCGGCGTTTCAAGAGGGAACAAATGCCGTCCTGATATCATTCCGGGGGGTTTTCAATTCGAAAGTCTGGTTTCTTTGATCGTTAATTAACACATATCCTTCGTATTTACAAGCAAAAGATTTTAGTTATCGGAATCGGGTCATATCCCCCTTTGAATGGTTTGACATGCCATTACATTTATATATACTAAACTCATTATAATTTGAGAAATAATAGCTTTGCAATTATGTTCATTCTCTATGGGATGTCGTCTGCTTGGGCAGTGTTGGTCCATATAGTGACGTCATTAAAAACATCGTTATTTTTCCGGCGAATCTCTCGCATATCCCAGCTGCTACTGGAGGTGGTTGTATTTGTATTTTTATAAATCACCCGATATGTAGTTGACCTAAAACTTGTACGGTGGCTATCTGTTAGCTTACCAGTTTCTAGTGATACATTAGTTGACATATTTGTGATTTTCTTTGAAGTTCACCTTTAAAGGTTTAGGGTTACGGTTCAGGAAGCAACTTTGATTTAGGTTTGGATTTATGTTAGGGTTAAGTATCGTGTTGGGTACAGGGGTAAAGTTAGGAATTCTGTTTGTGTTCGAAATTGCCGCGGAACAAATGTCGCATGAGCAAGTTCAAGTAGACACATCTTCTATGAAGGTTTAAAGCAAGCCTTTTCTAGATGGAAAACATGCACCCGACCCATTCCATTTGTTCGGGGGATCTGCTGGAATCCTACGGGGAAAAAAGAGGATTTCTTTATCTTCCTCCTTCACAAATAACTTTAGATTAGAACGACAGAGGAGGGGCGGTGTAATTCGCTGCACACTCGACTACAAAAAAGCACAAATAACTGTCACAAATATTCATGGTTCACAATGCATAACAACTGTTGATCTTTTTTAAAGACACAGCATGACACGGAAGTCAAAATTGTAAATTTTCTGGCTCTAAAATTAGGCGTGTTTACTGATGCGGAAATTCTCCCGTAATTGAAGGAAATTCATTGTCCTCCGAAAGCGACTAATCCTAGCAGGGCGACATAATTTTACCTTCTCTTCTTCAACCAAAGAATGGCTAAGACGAAGACGATGATGCCCACCAAGGCTACGACGATGGCGATCACGAGAGACAAAACGTCTGCAGAAAAAGGAAAGAAAAATTGCAATTGATACTTAAAGGTTTATGTGTCTGTTTGCGAAAAATGCATCCACTGAGCTTATAAATGCATATCGTGACTTCTATATACCTACTTCACAAGGGACATTAAACAGATGCATTTGCCGTTCTCTAACCAAGTTGTTGGTATGCGTATTGTGGTAAATATGAGCTAATCTGAATTTCCTTCACATGAGACTTTTATTTAAAGTGTGAACGCATCCAATATTTTTGTACATGAATATTAAGAGTTATATATACCCAGTTCATACGAGACTGCAGCTATATTTCATGTGCCGCTGTCTAGATAGAGAGCGTTAATTGGTTGCTGTAGTAGATATGTTAATACGGACTTCGTTTACATGAGTCTTCCAAGTTCCAACGACAGGAATGTTGCGAGCATGAAAGCATCTATTCTTCTTGTACATGAATTTATATTCGTTCACATGAATCTTTCTGGGACAGAAATGTTGAAAGTATGAACGCATCTATTCTTCTTGTAAATGAATTCATATGACCTGATTTGATTTGATTTGATTTATTTATTTCCGTTTGATTTTCTTTTTCTTTTGCAGTTTTACATATATATAACAAACAAAACATTGCAAATTTTACACATGACAAAAGAATATATGTAAAATAAAGTAAGGCTGGCTGTAACTAATCGAAAACAAAGAAAGCAAAGCTTGATAGCATGACTACTCTCAATGGATACATAATAATACAAATATGGAGGAAAATATATTGGTAAAAGAGGAAAATATATTGGTAAAAGAGGAAAATATATTGGTAAAGTAGGAAAATATATTGGCAAAAGGGCAAAAGGGGAAAGAGAGAGAGAGAGAGAGAAAAAAGAGAGAAAAAAAGAGAGAGAGAGAGAGAGAGAGAGAGAGAGAAAAAGAAAAAGAAAAAGAAAGAGGGGGTTTACATCCAGATTCACAGATGTATGTGGTAGTTAGATTTCAATTTGGCATATGAAGATAAAAAAAGAAGATGCACATTTGAATACTGGGTGGCCATCTTGGGATATATGATAAAATGAGAGGACTCGCGAATTTTCTGAACAATATGAATAAAAATGTACCTACCTAGATCACATGAGACATTAGCTGGATTCCATTTATTAGTGTCGAGACAGGTGATGGTAGGCGGGTTGAAGTTGGCCTTGTAGCCGGTATCACAGCTGAAGGAGAGAACAGCACCGGATTGGTAGACCTGTAGGGTTCCGTTGTGCCGAGTGCCCGCTGCGGGTGAAGGTACGGTGCAAGCGGCTTGAACTGTGCAATAAGGTGAGAAGAAGAAATAAGTACAGATTTGGATCTTGACATGAATTAAATTTAAATTTAGAGAGAGCGTATACTGTAGCTCTAACTTATTTCTTCCAATATGTACAATTAAAAAAAAAAAAGTTAACAGTGTGTCATGCATAATTTCATGTTTACATCAGGATAACAGAGTAATGAGCTTGTAATACAAAGAAATACAAGGAAATGAAATGAAAGAAAAGGGTGTCCCGATAAAAAAAAAAATTGAGTCTGTGACCGGCACACTAAAATAAAAACAAACAACAACAACTGTTAGAAAAACATCAACAATAACAACATCAACCTCAACAGCAACATTAACAACAATAACAAACAATTGTATTTGTTGGATCACGAGTAATTTTAATGATGGGGGGGGGGGGGGGTGAAGGGATGTCTAATGAAAAATCGTTGACACGGACTAAAACACAGTATAATAGTAAAATATTATCACGTACAGTGTGTATTAGCCCCACTTGGTTGAAAAGGACTGGTGGGGAGGGGTGGGGAGGGGGAGGCTTACATTTAAACAGAATTTGCTCTGGGCAACTAAAGCATCGCATTTATTAATAAGAGTCTATGCAATGTACTGATTGTATATTTCCATTACAATAATATTCTTTTAATCATTACAAGAAATGATAAAAAAAATTCAATACGACTAAATGACTAATGAGATATGCCTGTCAAAATTAAACTCTCGATTCTTTTAAATAGACCATTTTCGTGAATGTAACCAAACTTAATGCATACATCTTTGTGAAGTGCCTCAATAAAAATTGTTTCATTTACCTGATAAGAATAACAGTATTTCAATACTGTAGTCAGAATGCAAACTGCATATATTAAGTATTACTAGGTAGGGCAAGCCATAATGTTTTTTCCTACCTGGCAACAATTACAATGTATGCAGTTCGAATTCTGTCTATTGAAATACTTATTCTTATCAGGTGATTGAAATAGTTTGTAACGAGGCACTTCACAAAGGCGTTTACATTAAATTTGGTTACATTACAAAAATAGCCTATTCTGATGTTTCCGACCATGGTAAAAAGAACCCACCTTGATTGTTTAATTTTCGGAACCTTCATGCAAATGCAGTGCAAACATATATAATCATGAGCCCATGAAGGAATGTTCCCTTTTTCAATTAAATTCACCAATTTTGCAAGGCTGAACAAAACAAAAAGTGAGGTCTGTAGAGAATAATGCCATCCGCACCCCGTGCTAAACAAATACATGCATTCCACATCATTATCGTATAGTCGCGGCGTAAATGTTTGCGTTTATTTTGAAAGAGTAGAAGATTGAATCTAAATAAGTGACAAACGATGGAATACACATGCAACATAATATGCAAGTTCGATCTAAATAGTACTGGCATGGGACACTGCATTGCTAAATTAGAAGAAAAGGAAAGGAAAGAATTAGAAGAAAAGAAGAAGGAGAAGAAAAAGAAGTAAAAGAAGAAGGATGACTACAAGGGAAAGGAGAAGTAGTAGAAGAAAAATTGAAGGAAGAAGAAGAAGAAGATGAAGAAGAAGACCCTGCGCGATATTTGATAATGATTTGAACACATCAATATGGTAGAATCTACAATAGAATGTAACCATGTAGCAAGGTTCTATTCATCAAAACAGACGACACCAATTATGCAATGTAAAACTAAATGCGGGAAATATAAGCCCTGATAAAATGTCAACACATTTAAGGAAGTAGTTCAACCAATTTTGATATGACAAACGCATTAAAAACATAACCAGGGGGAATGAAGAAGGTGCTTGGTGAAAAGTGCACTTACAAAAAACAAAACATGTTTGCAAAGCTTTCGGCGTTGTCTAGTGGGACATCCACATAATTATCTCAACTTTTTAAGCATTTCGATAAACATACTTCATAAAACTATTGTTGGCGGGTGTTTTTGTGAAGACCATGCATTGAACATTGCCACTTGGAAATCCCCGAGTGACTACTTAAGATTGTTTGATGACAATATTTGGATTGTAGATTGAAGTGCATGTGGTCGGAGAGGGCGGGAACTACTAGTACTGAGCAGAGCCATCTTATACACAGAGTTTGACCAACCCGGTTCGAGTTGGACACAATATTGCAACTACTGCTTTGTTGGGCAAGCACAAGACAAAATAATATACGCCATGTTGTGACCCAGTGAAACCAAGTTGCCCAGACTCTGTGTATAGATGGCTCTGGTGCTATAGTGCAACCCAGGGCAACTGATTAGGAGAGTTTTGCCAACCCGGTCAGACGTGGGCGCAATATAGCGAGAACTGCTTTGTTGGGCAAGCGCAAAACAAAAGAATATACGCCATGTTGGACCAGTAGAAACCAAGTTGGCCAGACTTTGTGAATAGATGGCTGTGGTATGATCAGGAGCAGGTAAAAGGTACTTCCATGTGGGCATATATACATGCACTACACTTTCTGCAGGTATTATCGTGAGGGAACCGATATTCCCTGTCGCCCACTCGGTAAAGAAATTATATTTTCTTTTCATTATTTCAATTCCAATCACGTAGCGTGAGTCTAGACAATGAAGTGACACCAGTTTAATGCGGGGGGGGGGGGGTGCAGTGGTATGGGGTCCCTACGTTTTCCTTTGTTTCTGAGGATTATTGCGTGAAAGACAAAGAATCAGAGAAAGAAAGTAAAAAAAAAGAAAGAGAGACACAGAGAGAGAGAGAGAGAGAGAGAGAGAGAGAGAAGAGAGAGACAGAGAGAGAGAGAGAAGAGAGAGAGAGAGAGAGAGAGAGAGAGAGACAGAGAGAGAGAGAGAGACAGAGATGAATGGAGGAGCAGGCGGGGAAGAAAAATTATGCTGACCCCTTCCCGTTCTCTCTGATTGCGCTGCACCCCCCCCCCCCCCTCCCCTCCTTCCTCCCAGATTCATCTACAGTATACACAGAGTTTGGCCAACTTGGTTTCACTGGGTCAGAACATGGCGTATATTCTTTTGTTTGTTTGTTTGTTTTGGACAGATAAATTCTTGGAACCAGCGGGATTTGAAATCGCCATCTACTATACTGCTTACGCCGTTGGGAAGCTGCTACACGGCCATCAATGGGGCATGGCACATGAGCTGAAAACAAATACATCAGCTCTTGTAATCCCGAGTTATTGATGTTCATCAATCCGTCATATTAGGACAAAAAGCCGTAGCTGTGAATGTTAGGCTTCATTGGAAGTAATTTCAATTTGTAAAGAAATTTCGGTTTCCATGCAGCCAGTAAATAAAGATCACACGCTCGATCTTTTAATTAATAACAAGTTTATAACAAAAAGTCTCCCAGGAAGCCGAACATTCCATGCTAAATAACAAAAGTATCCCTTACACAATCAGGAAGCCTGATCCAAGGAAGTTCATGCATGTCCATTTGTCATCAGAAAGCAACCAAGCTCCATTAACTATAACTTTTCAGGCTGAAAATGTCATAAAAATTCGCCACGAAATCCAGGTTATTTCTATAGTTTTGGAACAAGTAAAGCATGTGTCCTTCTCAGGGGCGTACGCAGGATTTTTTCAAGGGGGGGGGGGGGTTTAAAATATTTTGCTCCCGAAAATTTGAAAATCGCGCCGGCCGAAAAGTCGCTCAGTGGGGGGGGGGGGGGGGGGGGGGGGGAAGGGGACACTTTTTTTTTTTTTTTTGGAGGCCAAAAAAAATCGCAACGACTCAGCCAGCCGAAAAGTCGCTCAGTGGGAGAGGGTGGGGGGGGGGGGGGGGGGTAAGCGGACACTTTTCTTTTTTTTTTGGAGGCCAAAAAAAATCGCAACGACTCAGCCAGCCGAAAAGTCGCTCAGTGGGGGGGGGGGGGGGGTAAGCGGACACCAAAAATACCAAAGGGGGGGTTGAACCCCCAAACCCCCCCCCCCCCCCCCCCCTGCGTACGCCCCTGGTCCTTCTATAGTAATTCAACCGCAAGGTAAAGAGAAAGGCAATGCATATGAAACCAAAAAGATTAGTTCGGCAATTCCAATTTTTGTGTGTCCAAGGACATTTAAAAGATTACAGGGCCAACACAAAACGAGCTATCTGTAGGCGAGGTTTAATGTAATTACAAGTTGCATTTATAATTTAATGGTTTTCACTTGAACGGTTTCTTTTCCAAATATATAATTCTATTCGATATTCTATCTCTGACATAGATTTTTCTATAGATGTTATTCTTTAAGCTCGGAAGGAAAATAAATGAAGGCGCGATGGCTTAGTGATACAGCATTGGTTTCTGAGCCGGGAGATCCGGGGTTCGAAACCAACACGACACGCGAGTGCCCTTTGATAGGGCCTTTATCCTCATTACCAAGTCCCTCGGAGAGGAATTAAAACCATCGGTTCCCTGGTTGATTATGCTAGCATACACATACTATCCTAGCAGTCGGGTTGAGTACAAATGACTCCTTCATGACTGTATTGCCGAACAGTGACATGAATTTATTAACGCTTCTGAGGGGCGCCAAAATATTGATTTATCAGATTTGTTGTTCTTGTCATCACACATAACATCATGGAAATAGATACTCACGAATTCATTCGAGGTGAAACTTGTTTACAATATATTAAATTTAGATTCCATAATACAGTTATGTATCTACAAAACGGATTTCTAGTAAATGTCGCTTATACAAGCAATCGTTTGTTAAAAACAATTTTATCACAATTCACTCATGTTACATATACTTAGTAGAGTCTTTTATTCTTGTCTTTTCTCATTTTTAATTGAGACGATATTTCAATCATTTCTCTTATAAGTTTTGAAATTTAAAGGGAATGCTATGCATTCACGACATAATAAGCAATGACATTTGACTGAAACTGTGTAATTTACCCCTATAAGTATTATGAAAATAGAATAAATATCCATGGCTTTGGTGATGGACATTGTCATCGTGCTGTCGTATGTGCGTGTACACTGTACATGACTTTGTAATCAAAGTATGCATGATATTTCATTCGAAA